TTTCCTGTCTTATTAATTATAGCCATTCTGACCGGAGTGAGGTGATATCTCATTGTAGTTTTGATTTGCATTTCCCTGATAGCTAATGATGTTGAGCATCTTTTCATATGCCTATTGGCCATCCGTATATCTTCTTTGGAGAAATCTCTGTTCAGATCTTTTGCCCATTTTCTAATTGGGTTGTTGTTTTTTTTTGTTGTTGAGCTGTATGAGTTCTTTGTATATTTTGGATATTAACTGCTTATCTGATATGTGGTTTGCAAAAGTCTTCTCCCAATTGTTAGGTTGTCTTTTCGTTTTGTTGATGGTTTCCTTTGCTGTGCAGAAACATTCATGTGAGCTTGTGGATTCGCTATGGTTAGACAGTATGGCGGTGGTTATTTAGGTTTGAGATAGGTGAATGGGACTGGGATCAAAAAATCCAGTGTATCTGAGTCATACATGAGATTTAATGGGCGTGAAGGATAGAAACAACGTACATGATCTGAGCTGTATGATTTCGTTTTCTAAATAAATTACTCTGCCAAACCAAATGAAATGTTTGAGTGCCACCCAACTGTTTAGTAGTTGTATGGCTATTGCCTACAAGTTATTTATCCCTCCAAATGGCTGTTCAGTTTGAGAATAGCTGTTGGGTTAACAGAATCTATGTGTTCTAGAAGATTTGCATGGTAGCTCAATAAAGGTCTTAAAATTATCCTGTAATGAAAAGCATTGTAAATGTAATTATACAGGTAATAAATGAAGTGTTCATCCTTGATAGTGCATTTTATTTAAAAGTACAAATTTTTTGAGGGCTTTTTGTGACAAGTGAATCTCTAAACTCTTTGAAGGAATTAAGGGAGGAGAAAGTATGATAAAATAATCAGAAAGTTTTACTTGAGAATGGTCTGATTAGAATGTAGAAGTATCTTTAGAAACATCTTATACAGCTGTCAATATTTGGGATAAGCCACTTTATCAAATGGAGGCAATAACTGATCTAATAAACCACCAACATAAAGTCCCTGACTTAGGAGCGGCTGAATACCTCCAGCCCTGCCTGAACTGGCTTCCCCACGGAGTCCGCGGACGGTGATTCCGCTTCTCTCTCCTTTCTACTTTGTGCTTTGCTGTGTGGTCAGCTGTCCCTGGACCTGGCTGCTGGGACAACTTTGCTCTCCTAGGGTAGAGACTACGTCCTTAGCTCAGGCAGAGCGTTGCCACATGGCCTTCTCTCTGTTCCCATAGTGTCGTCCGTCTTCTCCCCCACCATGCCCCCACAATTTTGGCGGTGGGCGAGTATTCCAGGCTTTACGTTGGACAGCCCTAGGGTCTTGCATCTAGAGATTTCCTACGCAATATCAGAGAATATAGTTTTAAGGAAAGTTGGAGAGAAAAAGATGATGAGACCAGATCAACCTAGAATCCATGAAAGAATAAAAGTAATTTTGCTCTAAGTGTTGACAAAAGTAGGGTACTTCCAATTTCATTTGAAAGTGATAAAATAAGCTGGGTCAAGGCAGGTGAGTATAATAATAATAAGACTGGTAATTTACTCAGGTGAAGGAGAAGGAAAGGCTTAACTCCTGAAGTGAGTGGGATAGAAATAGAATCAGTGCTCTCAATCTAAAAATAGGTCCAGAGTTCTCACAAGTCCCGGGTCAGTCTCCTCTTTTTTTCTTGCTTTTTTTTTTTTTTTTTTGAGGAAGATTAGCCCTGAGCTAACTACTGCCAGTCTTCCTCTTTTTGCTGAGGAAGCCTGGCCCTGGGCTAACATCCGTGCTCATCTTCCTCTACTTTATATGTGGGACGCCTACCACAGCATGCTGTGCTAAGCAATGCCATGTCCGCACCTGGGATCCGAACCGGCGAACCCGGGCTGCCGAAGCAGAACGTGTGTACTTAACCGCTGCACCACCAGGTTGGCCCGAGTCAGTCTCCTCTTAAGCAGGCCTTTATCCATATCCCAAAAGTTTTCTACCTAAACCTGCTTGTCCTTAGGTCCAAGAATCCAAGGCAAATTTTAAAAACTATGTTATTAATTGTTTTTTTAGAGTTTACAAAGTGCTTTTGTATTTATTTTCTTTTAAGTCTTACAATAACTGTGGGAAGTATGTGCCATGCTTAGCGTAAAATAAAATATACTTTATGTGCATAATAGACGGTAGGATATACATTATCATCGGGATTGTCTGTCTCTACTTCTGATTCTGTCTACACGGTGGCATTGTTCTTTGAAATAAGCTGCCCCAGCAGCAAGGATCATGGCTACCAGTAGCTCTGGAACTGCGCCCTCAGTTTCCTTACCTCGGCACTAGTTTGAAACATCCTAGGGCAGGACATTGGTTCTGCTTACATCAAATTTTCATCCCACTACTAATCATTGTGTTTTGGGAGGGCCAGGTCATGCAGAAAGATGAGTTCTCCTTTGGAACCAATATTAAGGATAATAAGAGGCTGTCTTAGTTAAGGCTGCTGTAGCAGAATACCATAGACTGAATGGCTGATGGACAACAGAAATTTATTTCTCACAGTTCTGGGGGCTGGAAGTACAAGATCAAAGTGCTGGCAAATTCGGTGTCTGGTGAGAGCCTGCTTCCTGGTTCATATACAGCTGTCTTTTCTCTGGGTTCTCACGTGGCAGAAAGGGTGAGGGAGCTCTCTGGAGTCTCTTTTCTAAGGGCACTAATCCCATTCAGTAGTGCTCCGCCCTCATGACCTAATCACCTCCCAAAGGCCTCACCTCTTAATACCATCACATTGGGGATTAGGTTTCCACGTAAGAATTTGTGGGGGACATAAACATTCAGTGCGTAGCAGAGAGAAAGAAGTTTCTCATGAAGGGAGAGGGTAGCACAGACATGGCCACCTGGGGGAGTTATGAGTTGGACAGCCATCCTAGTTGGTGTTCTATTTGGAATCATTGTTTAATTTATTGATGTAATTTCGTACTCTTCTTTTATCTGTTTGTGAGTGTCACACTCAGTTGTCTTTCCCTCACTCTAGATCCCACTGTCACTTAATTGTTGATGTTTTATCACCGTCTCACGTTGAATTTTAAAAATCCCGAGTTTTAAATGTCATTTTCCTAAGAATGTAGGTCTTATACCTCAGTGAAAGTTACCATTTTTTAAAAAAAATAGACTTTTTTAGAGCAGGTTTAGGTTCATAGCAAATTGAACAGAAAGTACAGAGTTCCCGTGTACCCCTGCCCCCACAATATCTTAGTAATTTTTGTTTTATACTTTTGTTCAGTTATTACTATTTCAACATGCCTGAAATATTATTGTATTTTAAACATTTTTGACATATTTTGCTTTATTATGCTTTAATCTGCTGTTTGGAGACTGATGACTCCCAACTCTACATTCCCGTCTAGACTTCCTTCCCTCCCTGCTTGTGCATACATTTGTGTGATGGACATCATCTGGATGGCCTGCGGACCCTTCCAACCCAACATGTCCAGGAATGGGAGTCAGTCTCTTGTCCCCTCCTTAAAACCTGCTTCTCCTGTGTTCCCCACGTTAGTGAGGGTTGTACCTCTCGCCCAGTTCCTCAAACCAGCCATCTGGAGACTGTCCTAGTCTCTCCTTTCTCATCAGACACATTCAGTTGTTACGTCTTCAGATTCTACCTCCTAAATTCTACCCTCATCCCTGCTTTATTGCTCCAGTTCAGAAACTCATCATCCCTCGCTGGGATTACTGTACCAGCCTCCTAGCTCATCTGCCTGCTTCCACTCTTGTCCAAATCCAATCCTTTCCCAAAGCCAAACTGAGCCTTCTAAAAGGCAGATCTGTTCTGCTGCTTAAAACCTCTTAGAGTCTCCCTTTGCCTTCCTGAAAAAAACCCAAGGTCTTTCCTGATCTGCCTCCTGCTCTTCTTTCTAGCACCATCTCCCATTGCCACACCCCTCAGCTTCATTTTCCTCTAGCTTTCCTGACTCGAACCTCTTGAAGAGGTGGGGTAGTACAGCGATTAAGAGCACAGACTCAGGTGCAGATTAAGGCTTCACCAGCTGGGGCAAGTTATACTTAAACTCTCTGAGCCTCACTTGCTTTAGTTGTAAGAGAGGATAGCCTGCGACTGCACAGGAGTATTATGAAGAGGAACTGTGAAAATGTTGGCAAAATACTTGGCATAGAGTAAGCATTTGATATTTGGTGGTTGTTATTAGTATCGGGCCATACTGTTCCATCCCTCATAATTTCCCATAGTGCCATTCTTGCCTTGCACTCTTTCATTTAGCAGTTATTTCTTGACCGCCTGCTATGTGCCAGTATTCTCGAAGCTGGGGAAGATTTGGTGCACCAGGACAACATTCTGATCCAATTAATTCCTCTTTATGCTTTGAGATCTTTTTGACTTTCCTAGGTCTAGGATGCTCTGTGCTACAATTTCCTGTTGTATATTATTTTAATTCCTTTGTTTCGCTTATCAACTTGTGCTATAGAGTTAACGATTACTAATGGACTCCACTATTATATTAGACTGTTGTTTCCTTGCAAGTTGGGTAGGGAACATATTTTATTAATTTGTGTATACTGAATGCTAACAGTGCCTGATAATCCTTCACAGAAATACATGGAGTGGACACATGGAAGATACTCAGTCACTGTTGCTTGGACGAAAATAAGAAAATGATTCCATAATGTAATTTTCTTCCATTGTTTAGTGCGAATACACAGTATTTCAGCTTCTTTTGGCTTTTAAGGCTATCCTGGGAACCTGCCTCCTAATTCTGTTTTACAGTGAAGCTTAAGAGGGGTTTACTTTTGTGTGAGAAAATTCCATGCCATGAGCATTGCAAAGATCTGACCTGATGACCTTACATTAGTTTTATTTCTGTTTCCACGTTTTGAGATTTTATCAATATCCATTTTTAAAGTTTTGTCCTTTTAGTAGCTTTTATGACTTTAAAATTTGCTTCGTTTAGTTACATATTTTCTGATACATGCTCAGTTGAGTGCATGTTTGGACAATGTTTTTCTTTATTTCCTGTCTTCTTTTCTCTACAGGCTTCCTTCCCTGGGAACTTGCACTTGGTTTTGGTTCTGCGTCCTACCAGTTTTCTTCAGCGAACTTTCACAGACATTGGCTTTCGATTTAGTCAGGAAGATTTCATGCTCAAATTACCGGTAAGAGTATATTATTTAAATGTCGTGTCCCTTTAATTCTCAAAAAGACTTTGTACCACGCTGTTCATGTTTTAATGTGCTCACAAAACAGTTAAAAGAAAAAAATAGAATTTGTCTTCTAAAAATGTAAATTTGAAGTGCCTAAAAGTTGTCTGCTTCTACTGTTGAAGGCATAGATTAATCAATTTGTTACAAAGCAGTTCCTTTTGAAAAAGATAGATGTCAAATATGTTATATATGTGTGTGTATATGTATGTGTGGGTGTGTTTAAAAATCAGGACATTTTATTTTTAGTAAAAATGAGTGTGTGTTTTATGTATTTGAACTCCCATGAACTTACATCCTGAGCTCGTTCAGAGTACTCTGTTCTTTTTTTTTAAAGATATTTTTATACATTAGGGTTAGGAATAGAGTGCTCATAAATTTTGCAAAATACTTTTGCAAAGATCAGTCTTTCCTGATAACTTATAACTTACTGCATAAAGCCCTTTTATTTCGTTGTAGGCATAACATTCTGTCAGAAGGTTGACCATTAACAGTGCAAAGTTTTAGATCCAGGAGAATTAGGTGTTTTGGTTTCGAGGGGGTTAATTTTGCTTTAGAGAGAAATGTTTTGTAAGTGAAAACTGTTATTACACAAAGAAGGCGGTGCATACGCGTGCTGGGGGATGCGCAGGAGAGAATGGCTGGAACCGTTTGTGCAGGATGACGTTCTGCTAACTGAATGCCACAGTTCGTTGTGGAGTTGACTGGAGGGATGGCGCAGAGGGCAGTTAACAGTATCTTTCTTGCTTATTTATATAGGTTGTTATGCTGAGCTCAGTTAGTGATTTGCTGACATACATTGATGACAAGCAGTTAACCCCTGAGTTAGGCGGCACCTTGCAGTACTGCCACAGTGAATGGATCATCTTCAGAAATGTATGTTTCTTTTGCCCTTATGTTAGAGCCTATAGCGCATGTTAGCCTTTGAATCTAGTTCTAGCATTTTTTTCCTCTTTGGGAAAAACAGCTTTTCTGGGTCTCCTACTTTCCAGATACATATATAATTCAACATCTTGATTTTCTTCCATAGGAAATATCTAGAAATGATGAAGAGTCACTGAGGATGGCAAGTGAAGGCGAGGCCTAGGGAATAAGGAGATCATACTCTGCCCACCCCCTCCTGTGGCCATATAGTAACTTGAAGAAACAGAGGGCTTGGGTACCAATACTGGCACTGCTGACCTTTAGCTATATGGCCTTGGACAAGTTATAGAACCTTTCTGAGTCTCAGTTCTCCCAGTTATAAAATGGGAATAATACTGCTTTACTTCATAGGGATATTGGGAAGATTAAATGAGATAACAAATGTGAAATGCTTGACACAGTGCCTGGCGTATGACAAGCCCTCAAAAAATGCAAGTAATGTTATTAATCTCATCATCCTAGTGATGCTCTTGAAGCAATCACATTTGTAGCAAAGATTCTTTCTTTTCCAGAAGTTTACAAGTAGACGAGGGCCCCGCGCCTCACAAGTGTCAGTCTGTAGTATAAGAATCTCTACTCCAAATCCCAGCGATGTGGGGACGCTTCTGAAGGAAGTAATAGTGTTTGATTAAATCAGGATTCTATTTTCCTCACTCTCATTCTGCATTCGACAGCCCTATTCATTCGTATGAAGGTGTATTGTCAGAATCAGCAGTGTCTAGCCTTATATAACCTATAAAGCTATAAATAAAAGCGCAGAGACCTTGAGCTGGATGGTAAACAGAGGGTTTGTATGGTTTCTTTGTGTTGCCCTTCTTTCTCTGAGTAATTGATTTTGGAGACAAAATAAATAACAAAACTTTACTTGACATTTTAGGGCAACAGAACCTGAAATGAATTGTTGTGACTAGATGTTCCGTCATCACTTTAGTCCGTCACATTGCTTGGAATGCTAATGCTTGTTCATAAATGATAATAAATAAATATGAAGTGGCTTTGGTGTTCTCATCTCTCTTCAGAAGTAAAGTTATTATAAAGCCTTTTATAGTTGCAGAGTTTGCTAGGATAAGGAAAACACTGTGTTTTTCAAGGGCATAAAACAAATGACTCAGTACATGGCATCTTTAAGAGATAATTTTCATTGGTATCTGAGAAATAAGTACAGCAATTTAGATAAAAGACATTCCAGAAGACTCTTCACCTCACTTTAGTTTCTTAGAGGCTTAGATGCAAAGTTAGAGTTGATTGCCAAGGGCAATGCCAACTTTGCTTAGCAGAGGAGAATTCCTAGTGTACGTGTTTGCTGTCATACTTCAATAAAAGTAAATACAGTGACTGATCCAAGTTTTGATACACTAGCAGAGTTTCCGTAGAGCTAAAAGAATCACTGGCTCTTTGCAGGCTATAGAAAATTTTGCCCTCACAGTGAAAGAAATGGCTCAGATGTTACAGTCCTTTGGAACTGAACTGGCTGAGACAGAACTACCAGATGATATTCCTTCCATAGAAGAAATTCTTGCAATTCGTGCTGAAAGGTATCACCTCTTAAAGGTATGTCTGATAGAGTGGACAAATAAAAGTTTTCCATGGTCTTTCTTTTTCTAGAAAGGTGTTCAGTGTGTCCATTGCACACCGATTGGTGAGTAGGGAGACAAAAGATATATATATATATATATATATATATATATATATATATATGTATATGATATGTTGAATCTAAGTGTCCTCTTTGTAAGTGGTGCATTCTCTTGAGAAGTTTATTTGTAAATAGAATAGTTTATAAATGCTCCAGAATAAGAAATCCACAGTCATGTGTGTTACCAGGTATTCGTTATCTTATGGAAAGGCCCTCTCATTTGGAAAGCTAGAGTAAGAATCAAGAGGAAGACGGGTGTTCTGTTTTAACGTCCACCACAGGTACAATGTGAAATGGAGAAGGAGAGCTTGATGAGTCAGGAGGTCTGGTTTCTTGTTCCAACTCTGCCATATCCTAGCATTGTGACCAAGGCAAACATTGCTAAATCGATTACAAGCTTCATTTTCCACAGACTACTAGTTCTGGATGGTTTCTACAATAGGCCATAGGAAACAAGTTGATTTTGCTCTCCTACCCAGTTGTCTGGAGTGTTGGGTTGTGAAGGATCCTGAGTCACAATTCAGACAACCACCAAGTACTTTTAGATTCACTTTCCCCCAAAGGTTTAAGAATGATCCGAACAAGCACCAGGCATCCCTGTATAGCTCATGTCCTTTATATGATGATAGGCATGCTGGGGGCACTGACAGATACTAGCTCTTAGGTAGAGGTGACATTTTTAAATTAAGAATAAGAGAGACGCTGAAAGTTTGAATCATAATCCAAAAGCAAAACTCTGTTGAAGGAGAGAAAGCTCTGTCCCTCACAAGCTGTGTGATTGGGTAATTTGCTTGCCTTCTCTGAATTTCAGTTTCCTTATATGTACGATGAGCAAGATGATGATGATGATGACACATGCATACCTTGGAGGGTTGTTATGAGGATTAAATGAAGTATGTGATGTATGTACAACAGTGTTTGGCACATAGTTGGCACTTCATAAGTATTAGCTCTTAATGTTTATCTTCTTATTCATATTAGTGGTGGTGTCATTAAATCTGTTTCCAGAAAAATACATGTACACCCAAATTTTTGCTTAAAATTTCAGAGGGCCCTTGGATCTCCTGAAGGAAGTCATAGATCATTCTTAGATGCCTGAAGAATCCACCTTCCAAGGTTAAGACCTTCTGAATAGAAGCATATGCTTTATGATGAATTAATTAATCCAAATGTGAAATAACATAATACTTACGGCAGGTAGTGAATGGTAATAATTAGGGATTAGTAGGAAAGGCATCTAACTCTATCTGAATATGCATTAAATATTATTTGTAACTTTATTATGCTATTACTGCTTTATTGGAGCACATTAAAAATATTAGCAGAATACAATAGAATAAATTGGAACTTTCTATCAGTAAGAGAAGGAGGCTGCAAACGGAACATGGGATGCTTCTGCCAGTAAAGATCTTATAAAAATAGTGATTGCAACATCCATTTAACAGGCAGAGGCTTCTTGGAGATCCTCTCAGCTTTTGGATTCTGTGGTACTGAGGTATTCCTTGATTTTTCAGTTGTGAAAGCAAAGGCCATTCTAGAACTGCTGTTTCTGTTCTGCATGCTGTAGGTATATGCTTCCCTCTCTTCAGGTCGTTCAGATTAGGTTACTAGCAGACTGATAGATCCTATTGTGCCTTTGTACAGAATGACATTACAGCTGTAACCAAAGAAGGAAAAATTCTTCTGACGAATCTGGAAGTGCCAAACGCTGAAAAAGCTGTCAGTTCAAGACTCGATCATCATGAGCAAATAAGTGGTGACTGGCAAACTATTAATAAGTGAGTACTCTGTTTTTGGTTTAGAGTTACTTACTTTATACTTTTGAAAGGGAATTAGACATTTGTGCTGCAATCTGTTAAGTGTGAAAGTTTCCTGGACCTCCAGAAACCTGAGCCCCTCCTCCCGGCTCGTCTCACAGAGATTAGTTTGCTTGTAGGAGAGGACGTTGTGGACATCACTGTGGACATTGATGGTCTCTGCCTGTAGCAAGTGTCATGGGCTGTGACTTTGTCTGTAATTCTTAGTGTCAAGACTAGGTTTATCTACGTCCCTACAAAACAAATCGTTGTTTTTAAGGAATTCTACATCTTTTCTGTGTTAAGATTGCTGACTCAAGTACGCGATATGGAAACAGCTTTTGATGGATTTTGGGAAAAACACCAACTAAAAATGGAGCAGTATCTGCAGCTATGGAAGTTTGAGCAGGATTTTCAAGAGGTCAGTTAAAACATCCCTCTATGCATTTATTTTCCTTATGCCAGAGTTTCTCACTTGTGATCCTCAGAAATACAGTCTCACAAGATGCCATTTGTACCCAGAGAGAGATGAAAAGGAGGCAATGGTGAGTGAAACTTGACCTTGAATGAAGAAAACAACTACTAAAATGCCAAGACTGCTACTTCTTTGGCTTACTCATTTCCTACAAAAAAGCACTTTAGTGCTAACATATATGACAGGGACAAAGTTGCTGTCTACCCTGATGTTTGTTATTCAAATTTATTTGGATATAAAATGCTTTCGGACTATGGGATAGCTTTTCAAAGAAATAATACCAGCTTCCATCTTGATTGTTTAAAATACCATAGACCCATGCTGACTATATTTAATATGATCTAACAAAACATTTTTTGGGGAACTGGCCCTGTGGCCAAGTGGTTAAAGTTCTGCATGCTCCACTTTGGCGGCCCGGGTTTGTGGGTTTGGATCCTGGTGCCGACCTACTCAACTCATAAGCCGTGCTGTGGAGGTGTCCCACATACAAAAAATAGAGGAAGACTGGCACAAATGTTAGCTCAGGGACAGTCTTCCTAAAGCAAAAAAGAGGAAGATTGGCAATGGATGTTAGCTCAGGGCAAATCTTCCTCACTAAATAAATAAATAAATAAATAAATAAATAAAAATAAAAGTTTTTTGATCCAGCAATTTATTTCTATGAAAAGCCCTATGGATAAAATTAAATCATGTTTTGTTATACTTTATTTAAAAGGTTAAAGTGTATTCTAGTTGGATCCTTCTGGAAAATCCATCATAAGTGGTCAGGAGACATAGATTTAGTCCTTTTTTTCTTTGCAGTCATGCCCGAGCTCCTCACAGTCTCTTTCATGGTACTTTACTGGAGGATCCAGGGAAAACTCACTTCTTTTCTCTCTTGCATGTGGCCAGCCTGTTTTTTACCCATGAGTGTAGTTCATTTGTTCCAGCAGAATTAGGTTTGGGAGGGGCACTGCATTCTAGACACAGGGCTCAGTTACTGCCAGACCTTTCCCTCCTGTGGTTTAAACAGATTTTGAAACACCGTGCTCTCAATAGAACCTTCGTTGAAGTAAGAAAAGGTCGAATTACTCTTGGTCCTTCCAGATATTTGTGTCTCTCCCTCCTCCCCAATCAAACACGTGCAAAAATAGCGCTTTCCCTGACCGTACCCATTATGTCTCTATTTATATGTTAATTTGCATCCATACTAAATTGTTGCCTCTAATCAGTATTGTCGTTTGTCTTAGATTGCCGTCTAACTGACACGATCTGTGTCTCACAGTGACGTGCAGATAGGTTCTCTGTAGTTAGGAACTTAAAAAAAAAACTTATTTGGAAATTCAGACTTACAGAAAAGTTTGAATGTTCTCAAACTTGAGATATTCTTGAATATACAGAGAGAATAGGAATATTCTCTTGCATAATCACGGTACAGTTATCAAATTCAGTACATTTAACAGTAATGCAATACTTGCGTGTTATCTACCACTGGTATTCCAGTTTTGTAGATTGACTCCATAATGTCCTTTATGTTGTTTCCCCTCCAGTACGGGATCCATTCTAGAGGGTCGGGTATGGCATTAAGTTGTCATGTCTCTTTAGCTGCCTTTAATCTAGAACATTTCCATAGCCTTTCTTTGTCTTTTATGACACTGACATTTTTGAAGAATACAGTCCTTTTTAAAATAAAATGTTCTTCATTTTGAGTTTGTCTGACATTTTCTCATGATTGGATTAATCTGTGTATGACCAGCAAGAGTACTACCTAAGTGATGTGTCTTTCCCAGAGCAGCATATATGGCGGTAAATGAAGTCCACCAGCCCCTCATTGTTGATGTGGGTTCTGATCACCCAGTTAGGGTGCTGTTGAATTTCTCCACTGTGTAGTTACTTTTTCCCCCTTGTAACTAGTAGCAGATGTGTGGGGAGAAAATTTAAGGCCATACAAATATCTTGTTCCTTATCAAATGTTCGGCATAGGTTTAGAATTGATAATTCTTACTTCAACCAGTCTTTACCATGATGGTTGTGAAATGCTGATTTTCCACCTCTAGTGTCCCCTCCGCATTTATCAATCCACATAGTCATGCTACTGTAAGCAAGGGCCTTCCCTTCTCCCCATTTATTTGTTTATCTATTTATTGGGTTTGTGGCTTTCTAGTTTTTAAAATGGTTTATAATTCATTACTGTTCTTTGTTGTTTCAAACTGGCTACTGTGTCCCTGCGACATGTCCAAACATTATTTTTATCACTTCATTACTTTCTGGCACAACGAGATGGTCCAAGCTCGTCTTATTCCTACTCTGCCTCAGCCCTGGAACCAGCCATTTTCCCGAGAAGTTCTGGTTTCTTTTCCTAGGCAATGATATTAAAGACCAAGATCTGGGTGCTGGGTGTGCTCATTGCTGCTGAAAGGTCTTTGTTTCTAGAGCCATTCACCATAGAGATAGGGAATATATATGCATGTGTATGTACATGTACATACTTCCATACACGTCCACATATATAGGCACTCACATGTACATAGTGATCTTATATAAATCATCAGTACACACTGATATCCAGGAGGTTAAATTTTAACAGATTATGTCAGTTTCTGTGAATAAAATAGCAAAATATTTTCAATATATGCAATTTTTCCATATTGATGTTCTTATTTAATGGCTTGATTATTAAGGGAAAATGCTTACTAATTTGTATGCTTTTAAGACTTATTTGTTTTTCCTATTTTTAGCTTGTGAGTGATGTTGAACTTCTATTAAACCAACAAGCAGAGTTGGCAGATGTAACAGGGAATATAGCGCAAGTAAAACAAAAAATAAAAAAGTTGGAAAAATTAGATGAAAATTCTCAGGTAAGCATACATTTCAGATGTTCACTATATTAGTGGAGTATTATAGTTACATTTTGATGGTTTTCAGTAGTATTTCTCCTTATTTGGATTATTCTCTCATAGCAGCAATGTGTGCAATTGGTTCAATAGTATTGGTCTGTATTCTGTTCTGTTCAATGTGAGCCTGAAGTGACACTGCAGATATGTCATGTAGTTGTAACAGGAGGCCTCTGAGACAATGGTGTGAACTATTTCAGGCCCACCAATAGGGATAGGCTACAAGAATGCTATCTGGTACTTGAAAATGAAACATTCAAGAATGTAATTCCTTAAATGTCCATCATTTGATATTTGCAGTTGAACCAAACATAGATTCATACAGATAGATGTACTTAGTCTTACTAGCTGTGTGACCTTGGGTAAATTGATTAAATTTTCTAAGCCTCAGTGTCCTCATCTGTTAGTGGAGGATTCATGAAGATGTCATAGATAAAACATTTAGCACAGTGTCTGGGATATGTGGATATACAGTAAGTCCTCAAAAGAGCTAGCTGTCATTATTCTGCTGTTTTTAAAGCTTGGACTTATAGCTTTAATACTTAGCAATCTCTAGCTTTTCTCTCCTGTCTTGTATGTGAGAGCAAGGCCATGGTTTTTAAGGTGTATTCTCAACAAACAAATAGATTTATGGGTGCACCACAAGTGTGTAAAAACAAAAATTGAGAGGCAGCAGGCATGGTGACCGGTTCTGGAACTACGCTGGTAGATCCTTGTGATTGTGGAGCAATTTACAACTCTATGGTGTAGTAGAAAGAGAAGGAGAACTGGCTTGGAAACTCGGGGTCTTTGAGTTTTCCTGTTTGTTTGTGTTTTGTTTGTTTTCATTTTTTGTTTTGTTTTGTTTTCAGTAATTTTTAGTTTTAATTGTGGTAAAAGACATAACATAAAATTTACCATCTTACACCATTTTTAAGCGTACTGTTCAGTAGTGTTAAGTATATTCACATTGTTGTGCCACAGATCTCCAGAACATTTTTGTCTTACAAAACTGAGCTCTATACCTATTAAACAACTCCCTGTTTTACCTTGGTTTTCCCACTAGCTAGATAGGCTAGTGACTTCTTCATTCGAGCCTTCAGTTTTCTTTATTTTCCCTTGAGAAACATTTCCTGAGCTACTACTATGGCACTATATTGTTCCTGCTCCTGCTCCTGCAGTCACCATACTGCAGGAATCAGTAGTTGACAGATTGGAGACAAGGCTGCTAAGATCCCCTTTACATGGAAAGCCTGTGACATTCACTTCAGATATGTAAAGTAGTCAGGTAGATGACAACTCTAACAAGATTTCCAAGGCTGAAATGATATGAAATCCAGTAGCTTTCATTTGGCTGATGTGTACCTCATTTAGTGTAAGCAGTTCTATTCTAAATCCGTACATACCAGGAGAAGCAAATCTCATCCACATTCTAGGCGGGCTGGTTAATTTCCTGATTTTGTTACCAGAAATGCGTGCGCTTCTGATGACATCACCGCTGTAGCTAATTACTGTAACTAAGCTTTTCTGTAGCCTGCAGAAGTGTGACATCAAATCATATTTTTGGCAATATATCTCCCTTGCTCAAGCGATTTGCTTCTCAATTACTTTCTTCTTTCCCCTCCATTTGAACAGAGATCACGCGCTTGTTGTTTTACTTCTTTCCTAAAATCAGGATCTGTTAGCAAAGGCCCGCTTTGTGATATTACATGGACACAGACTTGCAGCAAATCACCATTATGCTCTTGATTTGATCTGCCAGAGGTGCAACGAGCTACGTTACCTATCTGATATTTTGGTTGATGAGATCAAAGCCAAACGGATACAGCTCAGTAGGATCTTCAAAATGCATAAACTCCTACAGCAGGTAGTGTCATGGAACATGATGCGTTTCTGAAAAAGATAAATCTTTTTTCTTGGTCCTTCTCAGAGGTTATAGGATCAGGGTCTGGTATAGCTTTGGAATGACATTTGTAAGAAGTCTGAAGGACTGAGTTAGATTATGCTGATTTAATCTGTCTCCGTCTGCAGTATTCATAGCAGGTCTAGGATTGTAAGAGTTTTGGCCTCTGTTCTGCATATTGAGCTCATGGCTGCGATGGCTTCTTTTCTATTTTGGGTACATCGCTGAGGCCTCTGCTCTGATGATAGTTTGCACTCACAACACTTTTAAAAGCTCTGGGGGCGTTTTGCTGGAGCCTGAAACTCATTCCACATTTCCTAGTTACAGCAATAAAAAATTAAACGGTGACTAGAAAATATTCCTCCGTGGCTTATGGGTCTGACCCCTTTCTTGACTGGGCAGTGAAAAGAAGAGCTGGCCTTGACAGTGGAATGTAAAGCTGGAGTATCACTTATAGGCCTCGTATCTGAGCAGGAACATTTTAGTCTGCACATCTCCTTCTCTGGCAAGGAAACATTTATCCTTGTCCTCGGCAATCACTACGGATTTATATTACACTTGCTATTTTGCTAGGAGTTTCATATTTGTTATTGATCTGGGGAAAATAGCATGCAGCTGAAGTGTTAGTGTTGCGAGAACAGTCAGACGCCTGCCGCAGAATGAATTCCTTCGTATGAAATGAGTGCGGCGCTTCCCAACCTCGGCAGTGCATCAGAAATACCTGTGGAGCTCTCTAAAAATATAAGTGCCTGGCTTTCGGCCCAGAGCCACTGAATCAGAAATTCTGGGGGCAGAACCCAGATATCTTTAGTTTTTAACACCTCTGAAAGCAGCTCTGATTCACAGAAGCCAGGGCTGGTAAACAGTCTCTTAAGGGACGAACATAGTTCTTCTTTCTTCATTCATGGTTTGTGTGTGTGTCTGCGTGTGATTTGCTCATCAGGCTCGTCAGTGCTGTGATGAAGGAGAATGTCTTCTAGCTAATCAGGAAACAGATAAGTTTCAGTCTAAAGAAGATGCTCAGAAAGCCCTCCAGGACATTGAAAATTTTCTTGAAATGGCTGTGCCCTTTATAAATTATGATCCTGAAACTCTACAGTATGAATTTGATGTAATTTTATCTCCTGAACTCAAGGTAAGAGGCCTGTTTTTCAAAGACACAAATTTAAAAAAACTATAATTGCAGTAGTGTTGGTAAGAGTTTTACTCCCTCACAGCTAACTTTATGTCAGGTTGTAATTACCCAGTTCTCTTAAGGATTAGGGGTGAAATTAGTGCCACTGTTAAGCATCAAAGAACCCAAAGGCTTATGCTTGTTGTTTAATGGAGTAATTCCCTTTTTGAGCTCTGACTCCATTATTTTCAAGCTCTTCGCATACCAGGAGCTCTCACATACATTTTCTTGTGCATCCTTAGAGAAAGGCCGAAAGCTATCCTAGGAGAATAGGGGCCCATGTCAAGAGCACTCTACTCCAAACATCTTTCCTTTGTGCTGCCCTGACCACCAACAGATGCTCTGTGGACAAAGATCCTGCTTTCCTACTCAGTTTGAGAATGAAGGGATAAAGAAAGCATCTGGGGCTTCCTGGGGAGGAGGATCAGGCAGAAGCTGGTGTTAGCAGGGTGGAGAGCTATGAGTTAGTTCTGTACCACTCAGCTGGAGATGTCATGAAGTACTCTCTTTACATTGTAGATAAGAACATTTGTGATGCTGTTTGCTGCTCAAATGTGTAGTTGACTGTATGTTTGGAGCAGTGTCTAAGTCCATGCTTAGCTGCACATCTTAGGGGATGCCCCAGAAAATCAGCATGGCCATGGCAATAACCAAGTGATTCTCTGGAAGCAACAAGCTTAACTCGAACTGCCCCAAATCACCAAGAAGGGGCAGAAGAGTATATTATCCATCAGCAGCTCTGAGGAGCCTTTTACAACAGGGAGAACTACAGAATGTCCTGAAGGCTCAAACATAACAAACTGCCAGGACAGCGCTTAACTTGGTGGCTTTCTCATGCTAAACTTGCCTTCTTCTCCAGCCATTATTCCTTCCAGCCAAGGGAGGGGCAAATCACTTTCTGCAGTCACCTATTTTATGACTGGTTGATAAATTTCTTCTTCAAGTTGTTTTGGTTGAGATCTTCTGGTCTTAAAACCATGTGAAGATAATACATTAATCTGTTTTCTATTACTTTCCTAAATTTCTTCTGGTTATATTTTAAACTCTAAATTAATTTTTTGACTGTCTGAGTCTGAGAGCTGTAATAGGATTTGTAATGACCTCATTTCAGAAACTATTTCGTAGAATTCTTATGCAACCTCCAGGTTCAAATGCAGACTGTACAACTCAAGCTTGAAAACATTCGAAGTATTTTTGAGAACCAACAAGCTGGTTTTAGGAACCTGACAGATAAGCGTGTGAGGCCTGTCCAGTTTGTGGTACCTGCTTCTGACAATTTGATAAGATCTAGAGCATCATTTTTTTCACCTAAACATGGTAAAGTATCTTACATTCGCCTTTTCTATCATCTCTTCTTTTCCTGCTACCGTCTACTTTGTTTTGCTTGATGTACATACTAAATTCTTTCTTCAATCCTGATAAATTGAACTTTTATTTAAGCATCTTTGGTCATGTTTAAATTATATTGCACAAGGCTGGAATCGTGGTTGAGATTACTGTACAATAGTAAAACATAGTACTAATATGGTATAGCACAGGATGATGAAATCTGGACTGAATTGGCGAGCCTTGCAGTGAGCATGAACATTTACCAGCATCAGACTCACCCTTTTCTTCAGCAGGTGGAGGAACTGGTATAGACATGCATGCTTGTGCGCACACACACATATTTACTACTTATCTGGATAAACTATTACCTGGTTCTCATTAGCTTCTAGTGAAGGGCTTAGATAATAGAATGGATTGCTTTCTCCAAATACATGCAGGTAAATGGAATGATTTTGCTAGTAATTAACTGTCACGGAGTCTGTTTTCTCGTTTTAATCTTTGTAGACTAGTTTTAACCGTGTAATATCCATTTGCTTTCTTGTTTCAATGGGATAGAATCATTGGCCTCGCTGTGGTGTTGAACTACTCTGGAAGTAAGGTGACTGTGTTGCCCCAAGGTTTCCCTCGAGCTGCCTCTGGGGCGTCCTCCAGGAGAGTCATTTGGCCTTTGGTACCCTGAGCTGGTTGAATGGGTGAACATGGGACTAACTCCAGTCTCTCTGATCTGAGAGAAGCAGACTTCATTAATGTATGGGAGCTGCTTTGAAATTCAGAGAAAGCTTAAACCAGGCATAATGAGGATAAAACTCCAGTTCAGCCCCAGCATGGATCAGATTAAAAAGAGGTGATGAAAGCAGGTAACTAGGCTAAGATGATAAAACTTATATAGTTAATAGTTATTAAATATAAAAATGTACTCACAGATAAAACTACAAACAATGCCAAATGAATAATATTAAGAAGATACTGAGAAAAATGAGTAAAAAGAACAAAAAACCAAGAAGAGGATAAAACCCAACAGCTATGAGAAGAAAAATAGAATAGGTTGATATTCCTAAGCGGAAGACAGCCGTCAGTTAGATTTCTGGCTCCGTTTACTGGCTGTGTGACCTTGGGCAGTCCCCTTAACCTCTCTAGCCTCAGTGTCCTTGTCTGTACAATAGGAACAATAATACCTATTGACTTCAGAGGGTTGTCGTCAAGACAAAGTTAACAAAAATTATAAGATATAAGAACTCAATCAACTAGACCATCCCTTCTCTCTGACTAAGGCTTCCTGCTCTCTGGTCCTCTGAAAGTCCAACTCTTCTAAAGGGGTTTCGGAAGTGGTGCACCTTGGATGGAGGAACAGGGTTCTTGAAGAGACTGTCCCGGACCCTCGCCAGGCCTTAGTCACTAAAAAGAACATTTTCTTTTGTGTTGCTCCGTTTTTTCTTTCTGATATTCTCATTTACTGGCGTTCCACTTTCTTTCTGCAGTGGGAGTTGGACACTCTTTCTTTCAAGCATGTAAACTTTTTTCAAAAGGTACTCATCTTTATTACTTTTCGTCAGTACATTTTCTGAGTTTGTGTTGCATGTGAAAAACCCGTTTGGTATCTAAAACCAGCAACAACTCATTCTTGCATTCTGCCTGCAATTAACTTTCTCCTTTTTTTCGTAACAACCATCCATTATGCTCTCAGTATTAAACTTACCTTGGAAAATGACTATATAAAAAGTAGACTATACTTCTAAACTCAATCTCTTTCATCAAATGACCACTCATAAAAAGAAAACAAGAAAAACAGTTGGTAATCTTAAAATGAATCCAGCTTTCTTTCATTTTAGAGACTCTTCTGTCATCCACAGTAAAACTGTTTGTTGGGAGTAGCTTGTGTTTGCTTCAATTTAAGACTGCCTAGTGTATTTATGAGGAAGAAGGCAACCTACTGAATAAATGACATGGATGGATAAATGATTTTATCCATTATCCATCATGGTGTATAAATTAAATTAAAGCGTTATTTATGCTATAGACGTTGTTCATTTTACCTGATTGCTCTGTGAGTAATGGGGATTATAATAATCGGTTCCAAAGAATTCTTCAAGACTTTTTTAATTGCCAAGCCAAATGTATAAGATTTGGTCAAATCAAAGCGTTAAGTGTTGCTTTTTCATAAAATGAGTCCAACTTTTTATTCTTTGTTTTTGTTTGTGTGTTAATTTGCATCAAATAGAATCCTGTACCTGCCACAGTGCCTGGCATCTAGCAGGATGTAAAAAATATTTGTTGGACTAATATTTAATACAGGGGGAAGTTATGGAAGAACATTGTCTGTGAGGGATAAAATGTAGTTTGAGCTCCTAAATCTGCAGCTCTTGTCTAGATCGTTCTCCTAAGCTTCAGACCTGTGTTTACAGTTTGCCTCCTGGAATTTCCTATAGGCAACTCAGAGTCAGCATACTCCAAATGGATAGCGTTTCTCCTGTGACTCTCCTCTTTCAGTGTTCCTCATCTCAGTGGCTAGCACTGTGATTCCCCCACTTGCCCAAGCCTGGGACCTTGGCTCCCCTTTCTTACTCATGCCTCACCTCTAATCGGTCCAAAAAATCCACTTCTTTCCATCCCCACTGTTATCCCTCACTGCCACTTCCTTATTCCAAGCCAACACCAGCTATTGCCTTGACAACTGCAACAGTCTCCCTGTCTCCCCACTTCCCCTTCTCAAATGCCCCTAGTTGTCCTGCCTTCTGGACTTTACACATACTGTTCTCCTTCTGGAACATTATTTATTCCCTTCTCTCTCCCACTTCCCCTTCCTGGCTCCTATCCCTCCATCAGATTTCCTATATCTAGGCCGCTTCCTTCAGGTAAGCTTTTCCTTCCTGCCTCTCCTCCTCCCCTGCACTCCACTTCCATTAGGTGTTCACACTATGTGATAACAAGCCCCTTGTTAATTCTTCTCAGATTTAATGTAATTGCCTGTGTTCTCTGTCTCTAGCTAGACCATAAGCTCTGTAAGGGCAGGGACTGTGTGCAATTCATGTTTGTATCCCCATCACCAAACACAGAGCTTGGCATATAGTATAGGCACTCAATAATTTTATATATATTTACATTGTTAAAAGAATGAACATCTACCTTGCTTTTCAGAAAAAGGTGCGTTCTTCGTAAGTTGTGTATATATTCCTTTTTCATCTCTTAATGTATTTGCAAATAATTAATTTATAAAGATAATTAGTGAAGCTCCCTAAGTTACCTTTATGAATAAGTTCGGCCCTCTGTATATCAAATGTCTTTAAGTGGTGGACATCAGTATTTATTAAGAAATTGACTTTATGTGGTAATTGCCACTAAGTCTAATTTAGATTTAATATTTATATATATGACTATGTAAACAGAAAATTTGTATATAAAATATATTTTTAAATAAATAAAAGGGAAGTATAAAATTTAGAGAACATGATAGCATAGACTTCCCCTGAGTGTGCCTTGCACTGGCCCCTGCCTAGGAGGAAAAGACACAAAGTATATTCCCTCCGTGGAGAGAAGAGACCCACGCAGCTTGTGTGGGTGGCAGCCTCTTCAGCAGCCCTGAGAATTAGAAACTTAAGGACCTCGTCTTTGACTGGACCATGCCCTGGGCTTTGTAGGAACATCTGGACTCCTGGCTTAATAATATAGGGGCTCACCCTTTGTAAACAGAACAGAAAGATTAAACAGAAAGAAAAAGAAAGATTAGACAGGAAGGACAGGAAGATTAAAGCTTGGAATTTTGATGAAGTTGTTTTTTGTTTGTTTTAGCCTTTTAACGTGCTTCCGAAATGTGTGGTATAGTGGTTGGAAACACGTACTCTGACAGTAGACTATATGGATTTGAATACTACCTCTGCTTCTTGGACAAGATACTAACTTCAGTTGCTTATCATCTATAAAATGGGGATGGAAGTAGCACCTATCTCTTGGGGTTGATTTGAGGATTAAAACAGAAAATGCATGTGTAGGGCTTAGAACCGTGCCCAGCATGTAGTAAATGCCAAATAAATTTTAGATGCTAGTTAAATTTAGACTTTTCAAAACTCTTTTTGATCCAGTTAATCAGTGAGCTACTATCTGATTAAATGCTTATGTGTCAGAATGAACACTAAATCTGCAAATAATTATATGAGTGCGAACACCTAGTTTCCTGCTTGCTCGGCAGTCAAGTGAATGTTTGATGAGTGAGAGATCGGGTGAATACGTAGCAAAATCACTCTCAATAAGAAGTTGAAATCGAATTCGAAGTATATTACAATGTACATCCGAAAGCTAAAAAAAAAAGTTGCAATCGTATAGATAAGTCTAGTCAATCAACTGTTTTGTATAGTGTGATTTAAAAATACCAATATTCCAAACATGTTGGAATATTATCTGTTTAATGAACACGCATGTATTTTTATTAAAAGTGTTGATTTTAATTCTGGTTTGAAATTCTTCTTTCCTATTTCTCTACCAGGGAAGAAGACTTGGAGGCAAAATCAGAGCAACTTAAAAGTAAGCATCATTAATTAATTCAAATTTGGCTTTATTGCTATAGCTGCAGAATCAGTATGGGGGCTTAAATCATATTTTCAATTCAGTAAGCCAACATTGGGCGTTTGAGAGCCTATTTAATCTAAAAGGAAAGGCTGCTGTTGCGTTGGGTCTGATTGCAGTGCTGGCATGTCCCCAGGTGTATGAGGAGTTTCTCAAGTCTTGGCTCAAATTCAGAATAATTTCTGTAGAACATCTCATATAAGCTCCAGCTTCTCTTTCCCCAGTCCCCACCTCGGTAAGTCTAAATAAATGTTGCACCTTTCTACAAACGGAGATTCTTTCATAAGTGATTCCAGGCTTGTATGTATGAAGCATTGACAGAGGACAGGTTCTAATGAACCATACTCTGGCCTCAAAAAAGATATCTATTTGTTTCTTCTTTTCTTTTTTCCTTTTTTTTGAGGAAGATTAGCCCTGAGCTAACTGCTGCCAATCCTCCTCTTTTTGCTGAGGAAGACTGGCCCTGAGCTAACATCTGTGCCCATCTTCCTCTACTTTATATGTGGGGCGCCTACCACAGCATGGCGTGCCAAGTGGTGCCATGTCCGCACCCGGGATCCGAACCAGCGAACCCCGAGCCGCCGAAGCGGAATGTGCGGACTTAACTGCTGTGCCACCAGGCCGGCCCCTATTCGTTTCTTGGTAGATGGAAGATTCCATCTCAGTTGTCCGTGATATTCTGGCGTCTGCAGAGAGTAGCCTCATCGTAACTGCAGCACTCCACGCTTTGTTTATGTTTTCTTGATGGTAGCAAAGGACAAGAACATATCTCCAAGAGGCAGTTAGCATAGTGACACAGACTATAGAGCTCCGTTGCCTGGTTTTTAATTCCAGATCCATCATTTACTGGCTATACAACCTTGGGTAAGTTCTCTGGAACTCAATTTCTTTATCTATAAAATGGGGATAATAATAGAACCCCCTCATCATGGAGTTAGTGTAAAGATAAAATAATCTGATATTTGTGAAGTGCTTCAAGTAATGTGTGGCATATGCTAGTGTTCTGAGTGTTTTGTGCAGTTGTTAGTGGGCTCGCAGATGGCCTACACCGATGTACCCTCCCTGGTTATCGTTTTGTACAGCCACAACTTCTGGTTTCAAGAAGGAAACAGGCTGAATGCCACATTCCATAGTCTTACATGTCTCTCATTTGAGTTTCCACTCATGACTGCCCTAACGTCCTGCTGTGTGTATTTATTCATTTACATATCAGCAGGAAACAAATAGCAAGCTGGGCCTCTGTACATTTTCTTGGGGAGATTTGTAGCTGTTGAACCCAGTTTTCAAGGGCACATATTCTTCGAATTCACATCAATTTGGACAATCCTCATGAACTTAAAAGTATAAGTTTATGTTGCAGAACTTTCCAAACTTGTATTTCAGAAACCCGTTAGGAATAAATGGTGTATACCTGCCTGAGAAGTGGAGTATGCAGTATTTTAAGTCTTAATCATAGTATTAAAATGATGATAACAGTTGGTACATTGAGAAGACATAAAGCAAAGCACACTCAAAGAGGGAGCACGATAATGGTGGCTTGACTCTGTTTCATCACTTATTAATTATATGACCTTGGCCCTGTTGCTAAACCTCTTTGAGCCTCAGTTTTCCCATCTGTAAAATGGGGATAAATATGCCATAGCTCGCTAAATTGCTGTGGGGGTTAGCTATACTGATGGGCGGTAAGTACTTAGGAGCATGCCTGCACAATGTGTAGCAAGTAGTCAATAAATGTTTGTTTCTTTCCACATGTATTTGTAATATGTAGGTCACATTTTGTGGAAATGCTTCTATGAAATAGATCCTGTACTTCATTTTGGGTTCTAGTTGTTACATAGTAAATGCTACATTTACTTGGAGGTTAGGCTTTTTGCAAGCTCAGCTGTCCAGTATAGCCAGGATCCCTGGAATAGACTTCAGATGCTTCTGAAGAGCAAAGAACGCTCACGGATCTCATGCAGTGGACTCAGTAGGGCAGTCCAAATCCTGTAGAGTCTGCAAAATAAGGCAGCGGTTTAGGATCAGGGAGGTCACTTGTAGCAACAACTGACATGTGGCAGAGAGCAGATACACATGAATAGGTTCCAGCCATTTCCGAGAAACAATAGACGGTTCTGCACATCTTATTAGCCCTGGAGTCTATCATTAGATTTTATCACATCATTCATGTTCATGAGGATGCCACTGAGTCATTAAGAAAAGGGTCAGTCAATGATGTTGTGTATCCTTGGTTAAAGAATTCAAGGATTCATGTAATATTTCCTAGAAAGGTTTCCATCTTTAGCTATCTGGACAATCAAATTTTTATGAATTAACGTCATTTCTCCAAAGTGCCAAATAAATGGAACTTTACTTAATATATAAAATAAATTCTAATTAATATCTTAAATCTGTGCTCTTAGGCAACTCAAATCATTTTTTTACTAGTACATATCAAAGTTATTTCTGAATAAATATTATGTCATAGTGTTGTTTTTCAGTTTATCTACAATTAAGACCTAGAGAAAACTTAATTTAAGCTAGATTTCTTTGAAGAAGGATTATACATACATAGATGCTAATTTAACTTTTATTGTAATCATTTCAGATTGAAGTGGTGCATGATTGTCGGGAGAAGAGAAGTTCTGGTCAATCTTCCAGTTTGAACAATGACAATAGCTTGGATGTTTTACAGAAGTATCTTTTGTTTATTATCATACACTCATATACACACCTACCAGGAGGAGTCTCTGATTCAGTGTTCAAGGCGAATGTGCTTGGAATTTTGAGTTCACAGGATAGGGTTCTACTGGGTGTGACAAAAAGAGCACTAGATGAGGGGTCAGAAGTCCTAGATTTAGGCCTGGCCAACATGTGCTCTATTTATGTGACTTGAAAAGTAACTAGACCTTTTCAGAATCTTAGTCTCCTCTTTTGAAAAAGAGGTGAGAGTGAATGGGACAGTGTTGTCAAAAACTACAAAGGATGATGTAGATATACAATGCTATTTTTTATTTTTATTTTTATTTTTTGAGGAAGATTAGCTCTGAGGTAACATCCGCTGCCAATCCTCCTCTTTTTGCTGAGGAAGATTGGCCCTGAGCTAACCTCTGTGTCCATCTTCCTCTATTTTTTTTATATGTGGGACGCCTGCCACAGCATGGCTTGATAAGCAGTGTGTAGGTCCGCACCCGGGATCTGAACTGGCGAACCCTGGGCTGCCGAAGCGGAGCACGCAAAGCCAACCTTGAATTTTAGATGTTAACAATAATTGTTTTTTTCATTTTAAAAATATTGTGTTAATATTCTAGACATAAGAATATGCATCTTTTAAATTTTATATCACAGAGTTGTGAGAAAGTAGCCAGTATTTTGGAACAAGTTGTGTGGAGATATATATATTTGTGTGTGTATATATATATATATATATATATATATATTCAAAGATTGTTAAATGTTAATGCTTAAAAATGTAAAAATAAGGGGCCAGGCAGGTGGTGCAGTGGCAGCCTGGGGTTCACTGGTTCGGATCCCGGGTGTGGACATAGCACCACTTGGCAAGCCATGCTGTGGCAGGCATCCCACATATAAAGTAGAGGAAGATGGGCACAGATGTTAGCTCAGGGCCAATCTTCCTCAGCAAAAAGAGGAAGATTTGCAGCAGATGTTAACTCACGGCTAATCTTCCTCAAACAAAAAAGTAAAAATAAAAACAGAGGCCAAAGGTAGAAATTAAATTAAATGGGTTACTTATATTGGGGAGTGAGGAAATGAATTTTAAACATGATGTTAATTGGAAATCATACTGGAAGGAAAATACATTTTATTTTCAAGAGACAGTAAACAAAATTACTACCGAAACTTAAGGATGATCTATACTTGGGAAAACTAGTGTAATAAATCCACTTCATGTCTTGGAAAATTTCAGAACATTACTGGGAAAAAGGAAAAATGATGCCTAAAATGCCCATATCATTTTTTTTTGAGAGAGAGTGAAAGAGAAAGAGCTCAGAAACTGTGCTATCCAAAAAAATATTCTCGAGATTTTTAGGAATAGCTTTTGTGAGTTTTTAGTAAATTGATTCTTAAGCTTAATGAGTTAGAAATTAAGGAGTTTTTTTTTTCATTTAAAAATAAATTCTGAGCTCTGCTCCCTTTCTTTTAAATATATTTTAGAGAGTCTTGTGGGTGGTACTTATTCTAGGAACCATAGAATTAATTTTATATTTTGATGATAAAACTGAAACCACTGGGAGTCCCTGTGCATTAACATTTTTTTCCTTATATAATTTATAATGATAATAGTTGAAACATTGCAATGCAATTGTGAAGCAATAATCTAACTGATAAACACGGTCTTTTCATTTTAGCCATGTCCTAAATGAGCTGATCCAGACCGAGAGGGTGTATGTTCGTGAGCTGTTTACTGTTTTGTTGGTAAGTGACTCAAATTGTATTTTCCCTCTTCACCCTCCAATGCTCCCCTGCTACGTTCCTGTGGAAGTGTTTAGGGCACTCTTGTCTTTCTGTCTCCTTCCTGGATTGTCACATCACGGCAGGCAGCGGGTATTTCTCTTATTGTCCGAGGCTGCATGTTCGTTAAATGTGCATATTCAGGTTCTCCGTCAGTAGTGACAGTTGTGGATTCAGAGTTTATTACAGAAGAGATAAGCTGTTCTCTTAGGGATACAGCAGGTTGTTATCATTATTCCCAGGGTGCTATTTGGAGTTTGTGATGTAAAGAACTACAAATAGGAGTAAAGTATTCATTTGATACAAATTCATATTAATTTGGTCTGAAAAAATCTAAACACTTATTGCTAGTTTAAGGAGAAGTTAAAGACCTATAATACAAGCTTTCATTTTTGGTTTCTCTTTTGTTTCCTACACTGTAAGCTACTCTGAAGGCCACAGAGCTGTCACTTGATTCTCCCCATTGAGTGGAAAACCTTGGCTTCCTTGTCCTGCTTTCTGAAAAAAAAATGGTGAACTTTGGGAACTAGAAGATTTGAATGTTAAAATTAGAAACAGCTTCACCCATAATCCCCTATACATTCTGCTGTGTTCACACTTTTGGTGGCCCAATCAAATGTTAATGTGAATTTTTTTTAAATGAATAAATGTATTTATTTCGGGTAGGGCTATAGAGCGGAGATGGATAATCCAGACATGTTTGATCTTATCCCACCTCTCCTGAGAAATAAGAAGGATGTTCTCTTTGGAAATATGGCAGAAATATATGAATTTCATAACAAGTATGTAACTGCTGTGTTGAATTTTCTTTTTCATATTATTTAAAGGGTTCTTGACCAATTTATTATATTTCACATAAAATTATATCATCTTTTTCCTCTGAAATTTTCACAGCATTTTCATGAGCAGTCTGGAAAATTGCGTTGATGCTCCAGAAAGAGTGGGACCTTGTTTCCTGAAAAGGGTTAGTTCAATTATTATTTAAAAATATGTAAATATGGACCACCAGAATAGCAGCTTGTTTTATAAGAACAGATTTAGAGACAAGGTAGATACTGTTTTTATGTCTTTCTGGTTTTAGAGGAGATGCATCACTCCAGCAAGTATTTAATGCTAAACTAAGTTTTGTTACAGAAACTGATGCAATGGGGTATGCAGAGCATGTAAACAGCCATTGTGTTCTGTGGCCTGAAATGCTTCAGTGGCTCAGCTTGTGACCACTGACCCCTGGGTGATCCCAGGAGCCCAAGGACCATCCTGGCTATGAAGATGTGAGAGTTGGGACCATCGTAGCACAACCATTCTTGGCTTGGTTAATTTTTAGCCTAAGAGGTGCCTCGGTTTTCCCCCCGAATACGTGTAAAGTCTTAGAATCCAGTGTAGCCTGGCTTTCAGACACCAAGGCATCTATCACGGGACCTTTGCAAAACAGGGAGCCGCCTCTTCTTTTTATTCTACAACATCATTCAGGGAGGCTCATTTCTCCCTGTCCCAAGAGTGTACGTAGTATAATTGACTTCCCAGGCTTTGTAATCATACTCACCTGCATTAGAGTTTTCTCTCAGAATGTTCTCTGCGTATCTAGCTCCTCCTCTTCCTGAAAGATCAAATCTGTCCTGGTTTGAGAGTCAATTTAATAGAGGTGATCATTGAAAACTTCCAAATAGATATCTTATCTCAGAAAGTGTTTACGGAGCGAGAAGATAATAAGGTTAAGAAGAACTATGTGTCTTTACCTATCTCCGTATATCTTAACTTTAAACACCTTTAAACTATGGCCAAATTCTTCCCCAGCTTTCCTAAGCAACAGCAGTCTCTTCTTCCTTTGGACTTGTGTAGTACTTAATGTCTGTGCTGCTCATTGGGGATTTTACATTTACTATATGCATCTTACACATATTCATGAATTCCTTCTCCAGCTAGGCAGAAAACTCTTTGAGGCAGATCCACATCCTATATATCTTTGTATCCCTCATAAGGTTAGCAGAGTTCTTGGCTACCAGTAGTGGTTTAATAAATGCCTATTGATAGGTTCATTCATTCAACAGCCATCTACTGAACACCTACTAGGTGCCAAGCACTGTGCTAGGCAATGTGGATACAAAACCCAAGACTATTCACATAGAAAAACAGGGAGTCCTTTATGTACAGTGTGAGCTGTGCTATATTAGAGGTTTACAAAGAGCCCTATAAGAGCCAAGAAGAGGTGCATGTTACAGAGACTGAAGATATAAATGATGGCTTTATAGAAGAGATGACTCATGAGATGAGTGTTAAAGAGTGAGTAGGAGATAACCCATTAGATGAGGGTCAAAAAAAGATAATACCAGGGAGAGAAAATAGCATGGGCAGATCCCTTGCAGGGTTATGATATAATGCTGATGTCCCAGTGATGAGCCAAGGACCTTGGAAATTAGCTTACAAGTTCACTCACTAGGGAGCTGAGAGACTAATAGCATAGGAAGAGTATATTTCTTGGTACCCTATTAGCTCATAGTTATGGAAAAATTAGTCTGTTTTTATAGTTCTTTCAGGGAAGGCTTTTCTCCCTCTAACTCTCAAACTTGGTAAGTGGAAGTCATGAAATTACTTGGGTAACTATGAGTCCCTCTGCACAGTCTGATGGGCATGCTGTTCTTGGGATACAAAGAGGGCTCCTGACCCGCTGCCGCTGTAGCAGGCCCTTCAGACCACGTAATGCTTGGCCACACTCACCCTTGCTCAGCCTTTCTTGATAAGAGAAGTACATGTTCACAGATTGATATGTTTGAATTTGCTTTTTATCACAGAAAGATGATTTTCAGATGTATGCAAATTATTGTCAGAATAAGCCCAGATCAGAGGCAATTTGGAAGAAGTATTCAGAATGTGCCTTTTTCCAGGTAATTATTCAGGTATTGGATATACTGTTTCTGGAAGACGCTGGGATATTTCTTATTTATAAATTCATTTTCTACTTTAAGTACATTATATATATGTAGAGATTAAAGAGCAATTCAGTCCTCCCCAAAACACACACACATGCACACACATACATATGCACACAAACATATATGGTTATGCGTCGCTTAATGACGGGGATATGTTCTGAGAAATGCATCATTAGGTGATTTCGTCATTGTGCGAACATCATGGAGGGTGCTTACACAAACCTATGTGGTATAGCCTACTACACACCTAGGCTGTATGGTACTCATCTTATAGGACCAGCATCGTAACATGCACTCTGTCATTGACCAAAACATTTTACGCAGCGCATGACTGTGTGCTGCTCCCCAGAGGCAACCACTTTCAGCTCTTTTAACTACTTCTTTTGGTATTTATCTCCATATTTCCAAATATGCTTATGTTGCTACTTCCCACCATGGAAGATGAGGATTTAACTCTCATTCACTCCTCCTCCCCCCCACCACATACACACACATACTTCTTTTCCTTCAAATGGTCCAATATAGTTAACATTGTAATTTTGGTTGGATTGATATAAAGTGTTAACTCATTAAGACCTTATCATTTCTATGTTCAGATGACTCATGTGGTATGAGATGGTTGCTTTTCCTTCCCTTTTGTTTTTCTTGCAAGTATTTTTTTTACTCACTTAATTTTCTAGGTACTTATCCCTGTTCTACCCCCAACTCTCCCAGTTGTGAGAGTTACGTAAATCTCTTCTCAGTACATTTCAACACATTGTATTTTCTCTGAATTTTATCCTGAATAAATCTTTCCTGGAGGCTTCTGACCTGCTCATCTGGACTCACTAGGCCTGTTGCACAGCTGTCATCTTGGGATGTTGGCGAATGTCGTTTTCGAGATTCTGTTCACCTGTCTCCTGCGTAGGCTTTCCTGTTTCCTAGATGCCATATCTTTCCCTTGCTTCTTTTACTCACTTGTTTGGTGGAACACATCATCCAGTAGTGTTACTGAGAAAGCGCACATTGTAGGTAAATGTTTCTGAGAAACTTGCATGTTTGCAAATGTCTTTATTCTACCCTAACACTTGATTTCACTTAGGATAATGTTTTCAATGTTCATTCATGTTGTAGCATGTATCAAGTACTTCGTTCCATTTTGTGGCAGAATAATATTCCATTGTATGGATGTTCTGCATTTTATTTACCTGTTCATCAGTTGATGGATATTTGAGTTGTTTCCACCTCTTAGCGTACAAGTTTTTGTGTGGACATATATTTTCCTCTCTCTTGGCCATATACCTGGGTGTGAAATTGTTGGGTCATATAATGACTCTGTTTCACTTTTCAAAGGACTATAGGATTGTTTTCCAAAATTGTGGCGCTGTTTTACATTCCTGCCAATGGTGTCTGAGGGTACTGATTGGTCCAGACCCTCACCAACACTTGTTAGTAGCTGATTACTTTTTCAGGCTTTCGACAACCATCTTTCCTCAAACCCCACCCTCATCACCCCCCTTCAGAGGTACTTGATGTCGGTAATTCTTTATGGAGCGGGGAAAGGTGTTCTATAACATAAATTGAGTTGTTCCTTGGATTTTCCGTCTGCCAACTTGAAATTCACTTTTCTCGAGTGTGCTCAGTTGCTTACGACTTGTCAGTGTGGTTTCCAGTTTCCAAATTTTGTCAGTATTTTTTCCTCTCCCATCTTTGTACTTCTGGGTTTTGCCTTGCAAAAATAACTTTTCCATCATTTTAGTTGATTTTCATGAGTGAGGAGAGCCAGATGGATGTATCAGTCCACCATCTTTAACTGTAAGCTGATGATTATTTGCATTAGATTGTATATTGGATTTTATCCATATCAAGAGGAGGATCCTGGATCTTAACATGAGTATATCCTCTCCTACTCCCTTTCTCTTCTGCACTTCCTATATGCACATTTCATCCTAATCAGCCCCATCTTGCCCTAATTATGGACCCTACAATGTTCCCAGGACCCAAAGTCATGACCCTTGTATTTATAGTGGCAGTGAGCCAATAATCAAGTGAAATATAGCACCAGTTGATGAGGGCTGTATTTTTCTTGTGATATTAAAAAAACTTTTCTCATACCCAGTCTGATTTATATTCAGTACAACCTTTTTTTTTTTGTTACAATCTATTTCTTTTCTGGGTCTTGGCCTGTGTAACTGAGCCTTAGGTTACTTTCCTTGGACATATTTAAGAACTTTTGTCATGTTCATCTATAGGCATTCATTGCTTTCTCACCTTTTAAACATTCCACATCAATGTGAATTTATATGTAAAAGCTTTTTAGTCTGAAATTTTTTAATTTTCTACCTCTCAAATTCTTGAAATAATGTATACTGTGGTTGTACAGATAAGCTGCCTCTTATATTTCCATACCATGTGTAACAGCTATTTTTCTGGTAAATTCTTCTTGAGATGTAAGAAACCTGCATGCATTGGGTCTAATCAGTGAACACTTGGCATTTTCACAGGTATATGTCTTAATTTAAATGTATTGATAATTGTATTTTAATGACAGGAATGTCAAAGAAAATTAAAACACAGACTTGGTCTGGATTCCTATTTACTCAAACCAGTGCAACGAATCACTAAATATCAGTTACTCTTGAAGGTAATTATATGAAGCGTTTGTTTCTTTCTTTACTTCTTTGGGTCAGATGTGGCAAGGCCATTAAAAAGGAGGTAGCTGACTAGGAAACACGAGCAATAGGTGTGCCCAATGACTGGGCAAGCTGGATTTAGCAGTAGAATCAGTGCCGTGTGCTCCTTCGGTTCGCTGTGGCTATGCAAGTACCAGAGGCATAGATGTAAAGCTGAGAATGTCTAGAGTCCTTTTAGCTGTTTAGTTATCCATAGCAGTTACGCTGATGTATGTATAACGTTTACTGCAGGACTTTACTATTGTTAAGAAGAACTAAGCAAATATTTTTTATAGTTTTGAGATTATATTTCATATGAGCCTTCTCAGTGAAAAATGAAGATAGCATACCCCTCATGTAGTGTGAAAGGATTACTAAAATGTTGTGTTAAGTATAATTGCAACGTAGCTTGTTTTACAATGTAGTTTTACAATGTTCTATGGTATGTGAATAAAACAAACTGTTGTACATAGAGGATCAAAAAAATGTGTAACTGCTTTAAAAACTAACCTCTGGTGTGTCCTAACAGCTATTGTTCTCCAGCCCAAAGCCATTGAATGCCCTCACTTTAGACTGTTCAGTCAATATTCCATTTCTTCCCCAATTTTGACATTGTTATTAAATATAGTATTAATGTGACAAAATAGCATTTGAAAGAAATTACTCAAAAAACTGACATTATCTTTGGATTCCTCCTTGAAAGCCAAAAATTTATTCATATTCTTCAGCTATTAATATCTGCCTAATATTAAGTTTAATTCTTGCCTTCTAATTACAGGAGCTGTTAAAATATAGCAAAGACTGTGAAGGATCTAAACAATTAAAGGAGGCGCTTGACACCATGCTGGATTTACTGAAGTCAGTTAACGACTCCATGCATCAGATTGCAATAAACGGCTATATTGTAAGTGGATTTTAATGGTTGTTGCAGTTTTAGGGAGTAAGCATGTTAACATCCCTTTCTTCCTCTCCTGGAACCAATTGAGAAATAAGAAGTAAGAGGCAGACAAGTGGAGATCCAAATGTCAGTGTTATTGCTGATAATGCTAAGTGGAGAATTGGCTTCAGATCAGCAGCCAAATGGATTTGCAACATTTCTCCTGTCCCTAACAGCCTACCCCCAAGTCCAGACTTTGGGAGGTCCCGCTTAAAGGAATGTTTGGGTCTTTAAAGGAGACATGTTGTCCCAGAACTGCTCCTTGTCCTGGTTCAGGATAGAAAAAGATCAAATCTTTAGAGTTAGCTCCCCCCAGTGGGGAAACTTGGACCCAGGGATGTCATTCGCCAATCAGGATTGAGGAAGAGATGGGGAGCGTTACCCTGACTGAAATACCTCCACGTGGAGACATGAAGCCAGGGAAAAGGAGGTTTCTTCATCTGCCACTCCCACAGTAATTTGGTACCTATGTGACAGGTGGCATGTTTTAATATAAAAAGTTCTGATGAACAAAATTTTAAAAACTGTATAAATTATGCTTCAGGGTTTTAGTAGGTAGAGCTAAACACTCTGATGTTGATGTCAGAGATCTGAATGTAGCTCTGCCTTGTACTAACGGGTTTTGATTTCCCATTCTAGGGAAACTTAAATGAGCTGGGCAAGATGATAACGCAAGGTGCCTTCAGCGTTTGGACTGGACACAAGAAAGGTGCTACAAAAATGAAGGATTTTGCTAGATTCAAACCAATGCAGCGACACCTTTTCTTGTACGAAAAAGCCATTGTTTTTTGTAAACGGCGTGTTGAAAGTGGAGAAGGCTCTGATAGATACCCGTCGTACAGTTTTAAGCACTGTTTGAAAGTAAGACAATTTGAATTGTGTAATGTAATATTCTTTCATATATATGTATTCAACTTTGTATACTTTCTCAGTTCAAATGAGTGGGTTTTATACTTTAGTTGTACATCCCTTTGTTTAAATGAAATCTTTTTTTTGACCATATGCTAAACTGCCTCACTGAAATCTTTCTTTGTTGAGTTGAGGTATAATTGACATATAACATTATATTAGTTTCAAGTGTACAACATAATGATTCGATATTTGTATATATTGTAAAATGATCGCCACAATAAGTCTAGTTAATATTCATCAATATACAGTTAAAAAATTTTTCTTCTTGTGATGAGAACTTTTAAGATCTACTCTCAGGGGGCCGGCCCAGTGGCGCAGAGGTTGGGTTCACACGTGCCACTTCTTGGCAGCCCGGGGTTCACCGATTCGGATCCTGGGTGTGGACGTGGCACCGCTTGGTAAAAGCCATGCTGTGGTAGGCGTCCCACGTATAGAGTGGAGGAGGATGGGCATGGCTGTTGACTTGGGGCTGGTCTTCCTCAGCAAAGAGAGGAGGATTGGCAGTTGTTGGCTCGGGGCTAGTCTTCCTCAAAAAAAAAAAAGATCTACTCTCTTAGCAACTTTCAAATATGCAATACAGCATTATTAACTATAGTCACCGTACTATACATTACATCTCTAGGACTAATTTATTTTATAACTGGAAGTTTGTACCCTTTGACCCCCTTCACCCAATTCACCCACTCCCACCCATGAGATTTTAAATAAAAGTCTTATATAGAAGTCAGGTAAAGCGGAACTTCTCTGCCTGAAATGAGAGTGAGGGTGGGAGCTTTGCCTCCATCCTTTCTTCTCACACTCTAATCCTAGGCAGTCCCCAGGGGGGCTCCCTAGTGTCCTGCAGAACACAGTTTGAGATTATAGGAAGTGACCCAGGCTCCCCTGTGAGCACTCTCTTAACAGTGGTACTGGTTGGAGTTTTTAAAAAAAATTATTTTATTGAGATCACATTGGTTTATAACATTGTGTAATTTGAGGTGTACATTATTATATATCAGTTTCTATATAGACTGCATCGTGCTCACCACCAACAGTCTAATTTTTATTTGGGTAGAGTTTTGCTTGTGGTGGCAAGGAGCATTTATTGTACAGGAGAGACAAGGAGGAAAGAGTCTCTTCATTTTTCTCAATGAAATTTAAAAAAGATAACTTTGCTGTTTAGCGTATCCCCACCTTCCTTTTTGTATCCCTCCTCTGTCCCCTAGCACCTCCCTTCCTGTGTGTCCAAGCCACCAATAGCCGAATCCTGCCCACATCTGTCCTGTCCTATCCTTTGAAATTATTTTCTTCTCTCCTATAACCCAAACTGCCATTCCATCCTAATGCTAGTTTGGTATTAAAATGTGAGCAGTATTGTTTGAGGAAGTCACTGGCAATCCAGTGATACTCCCAGCTGGTTTTGACATTTGACAAGAGGAACTTCCAATTTACATGAGTCTGTAATTGGTGAATTCGATTTTTTTAACACCTAATTAATTTTATCTTTCAAGTTTTAAGTCGTAAAAGCAGTATAGCATTTGTTATAGAAAATTTGGGAAATAGAGAAAATTATCACCCTTAATTCCCCACCCACTATCAATTTGGTCATCTTTCATGAGCATGTTCTTTCCTAGTTGTCAACACGAGTGTATTGGAGAAGTGAGGGAACTTTGAGCAGCGGTGGTAGAGTCAGGCCGTGTGTGCTGAGATAGGCCTGAGGTGTTTGTGTTAGGAAGCCGCCAGATACGCGGGCCCTGCTTTTGATTCCTCCCAAAGGGTCAGCAGCCCCAAGCTGCTCCTAACAAGGTTCCTACCCAGGATCGGGTCTCTGATTTCTTCCTACTGTCGACCTTCCTTGCTTCACTTCTGAGTCTACAGCAGCATCACAACTTCTTTAAAACTCTTGCTGTTTTCATAGCAAGTGCCCAGTTGCTCCTTTGATGTTAGCAGCCTACCTTCAAGCCCTCAAAATCTCCAAGGGTCTTTTATGTCTCTAACAAACGTTGTTTGAGAACTAAGAATTTGTTAAGTGATCTCAGCCAGGGCTCAGATCGCTTGCTGTCTGTCTACCGATTCCTTGGGGAGGGTTCTACCTTCATTGGTGTATTGGACCCAAATTCATTTGGTTCACTTTTTATTTGTGGGGTTGACCTAGGTAATACCTAATGTCGTATTTTTGGTTTGTATTGATTTTCTATTTTGCCTTTAAGTTGTCGCAGTGATGGGTGCACCAACAGAATATTTCGAGAGTACGTTAGAGTAAGGAGGGACTGGGGTGTAGTAATGAAGTCATGAGAACTCAAACTAACAATGGTTACCATGGAAACAGAGGGTGGGATAGGTGCAAGAAACATTTCCATGGAAGGTAGGCACCCAGACTTGTTGACTTACTAGATACAGGAAATAAATAATAGCTGACATTTGAAGGAAAAAAACCAGTCCGATTTTTCTTTGGCTTCCCAGTAATTGTCTAGGATCCTGAATAAAAGAGATTGGTCAGTGATGCCTGCAGGGATTTAGACCGGGATTACTAGGAAAATGGTAATGCCACTGGCAGAGAAAGATGCAAGTTAGGCTATTTCTTAAGCCTCACTATGCTTACTCCCTCTTACTTACCTGTCATGAGATTCCAGGATTAAATAATTGTTAGCATTACTAGTCAGTGTGTTACATAACAATTTGGTTTACTCATTTCAGTGTTCCCCCGGTAGAGAGGATCAATGCAGATGCTCTCTATTGCTGAGCAACTCCTCTCTCACTGTCCATGGACTCTTACCTTGACTTCATCATGTCAAACTGGGTTTCCACAGCCTGCCAATGCACTTTCTAATGATTGTGTGCTATATTTTAAGTTGGCCACTTCTATGTAAACGAAAGGCCCTAAGGTCACAGTTAGTCATATGGACAGATTTGAGTTCTTCATATCCCTCAGTTCATGCACTTATTATTATCATCTATTTTTTTAAATTTAACATACACTAGTGCTTACTATGTGCTAGGAACTAAGATTTTACAAATAGCAATGTCAACTCATTTAATTCACATAGCAATTTTCTATGAAATGGGAACTATTATTAACTCATTATTCCCATTTTGAAGATAGGAAAGCCAAGTTCCAGAGAGACGAGTAATTTGTTCAGGAGCACATAGCTAGTAAGTGGTACAGCGCAGATTCAAAACAGGCAGATGGCTCCAGAGTCCATGCTCTTAATCACTGCACCATGATGGAAGGCCTTGTTCTTGTTCGTTCATTCTTTCATTCCTTCACTCATTCCTTCTTATCCCCATTCTCCATGCTTGATCGCCTCTCTTCCCCTGTAGCAACCATTCTAATTCATTTGATGTATATCCTTCAGTTTGTGTGTTCTTGTTAAATATATACTAATGTTCTGTGTACATCTAGTTTTAACTTACATAAATTTTATTGTGTTATAATTCTCATTTTTTTCCTTATTTTTGATCTCAGAAACTGTTTCAAGATACAGCCATGTTACTGTTTTATACCCAGTGTCTTCCTTCTAACTGCTTCATAGCTCTTCAGCCTAGCTACATTTTTTGTTAATGTGATTCAAGATAAATTTTTTAATAATACTAACCCAAGAAGTAATTAAACTATCCCAGAGGCATGAATACAAATCTTAAGATTGGTAGTTATTGGTTATAATCCCAGAGTTCTTGACCCACTGGATGACTTGGAACAAGGTAGTTGACATCTTCACACTACCCTGAAGACAGAAAATGAGGTTAAAAGTTGAGGGCCTGAACACCTAACACAGCAAGATGTCTTCAGATAAAATGCTTTATAATAAAGAAAATGTATTCATAGCTGCCAGAAATCATCAATGAAAACATGAAGGATACAGCAGGGATCACAGGGCGAAACTATAGAATCAGCCTCACTATTTAATCTAAATATTATTATATAGTATATTATATAATTACTCATATAGTTATACTCATATAGTTAGACCTTTAATTCTACCTCTAGATTCTAAAACTGAGTAAATTTTCATGATATAGTGAGCGTTTAGTAAGTAGATTAGAAACCTTTCAATAAAACCTTTATATTTTGTTATTTGAGAAAATATATACAATCCACAAATTACAAATGGATTGTATTCCAGTGGATCATTTGTAAGTGAATTGTTTGGAACTGAGAACAATATTGTCTGATAGATATAATGATTAGATTTCCAGAGTAACTTCAAAAGGCTCATTTAATCTATAACGATGTGCTATATGTGTGCAATGAAAAATAACAAAACTATTACAATTCAAAGAAGGGAAAGTTTGGAAAGCAAACTCACACTTAACAAAAGCTGATTATCTGCTCTAAGCATTTAATGCATGCTCTTTAATCCTATATCAATTCTATGAAATAGGTAAGCTTCCCATTTTGTAGTTGAGGAAACTGAAGTTGAGAAATCTTAAGCAACTTGCACCAAGACACATAGCTAGTAAGTGGTAGAGATGGAAATCCAACACAGGCCTTTTGGACGCCAAAGCTCATGTGCTTTCAATGTTATCATGCTTTTAACACAAAACCATGTATTGAAACAAAATCAATGTAAATAGAGATTGAATATGAGATTATTATTTATCTTAAATCCCGATCTTTGAGCAAAAGTAAGTTAGAGTGGTTGAGTAGGAATATAAAGATATTTTTGGAGATCTGAAAGTAACTTCTGACTGCATTCAGGGTAGATGTCACAGGCTCTTTCATTAGTATGTCACATTTCATTTCTAAGCATAATCCCTTTTCTTTTCCTTGGTATGGGGATCTCACAAGCACTACTTTTCATGCTTATCAGCTCTAATTAGGGTCATTTTGGGGGCTTGTAAATGGAACAGAGAGTGAGATATTCCACTAGATAATTAGGCAGGGATTGAAAGAAAAGAGAAGGCACAAGGGGACTAAAAGAGACTGTGTGTACAAGGGAGTGAAATTGCTCAAAATGGAATTAACCAGCCTATTAGCAGCACAGGATGAAAGAAAATGGAAGAGTTTTTGCTTTGCACAATCATAGGAAGGAGAAGAAAAACTGCGATAAGGAAGAGATATTGCATATAAAAGTTTCACTGGCTACAAGAAGACATCACCTCCCGTGACAGATTATTTGTTTTCTAGAGAAGCTGAGAGATTGGTGGAAATAGAGGGGATCCTTGTGTAACTGGCTGGTTCTCCCCCGCCCCATAAAGTGGATGTTTACAACTTGTAGGGCTTCTATAGAGATAAGTAATAATCTGTCAGATTAATTTATCTGGCAAATGATTATTAAAAATAACCATTTAAATTAATTTTGGATGATGTTTTTCACTAATGTTTAATTCTAATTATTTTCACTAATGTTTTACTTCTGTGTTTGACACAATAATTTGTTTTAATAGTGTACAATTTATAACAGAATTCAATCTTAGATGGACTACTTGGATGTTTAGATTTATAACATTTGTTTCAATCGCTGGCATGGAGCATGTAATCTGTACTAGAAGGGCATAGTTCAATGAAAACATTTAAATACTCAGGTGTATGGTTGTATTTATCATTTCATATTCTTAGAATATAAAATGTATATTTTGCCCAAATGAGAAATTCTGTTTCAATTACACTATGATGTGGGTAGATTTAATGTAATTTCATATTCCAAATTAAATGCTCATGAAAATTTTGATTTTATATTTTAAATTTTGATTTTAAATTTTAAATGATTTTGATTTTTGATTTTAAATTTTATAGATGGATGAAGTTGGAATCACTGAATATGTGAAAGGCGATAACCGCAAGTTTGAAATCTGGTATGCCGGGAAGGAAGAAGTTTATATTGTCCAGGTTAGTCATTTAAAAATTATTGTCGAAACCATAACCTGCATTAAGATACGAAAGTCTGAATTTGCAAACAAAAATCATTTTGGTTACATTACAAAAGTTCTCATTCCTTTCATGTTGGTCACTTAAATATTATTTAATTACTCTTTGTGATGTAGTTAAACATTTTTCAGTAGCACATGTATTCTTTAACTTCAGATATGCCTGTGGTGCTTTCTAGGGCTTAAGGTTTCCCAGCTACAGTAGGAGACTTATCAACTATAGTTGATAGCCAATAACTTGGCAGATGCTTCTCTGTCCCCATCAAATTTCTAGAGTTATAGATTCATAACAGTGCTGAGTTCCTCTTGTGCTCAGCATTCAGAGAGTGCCTGATTATGAGACAAAGGGATGTGACAGTTCAGATTTGATTGTTGTCTCTAAAGAATATGGTAGAGCCCTGGCCAGATGTGCTGTAATGTCCATCCTGTTTAAGGGAAGGGGAGAGGAATGAGAACATATCAAGAGGATGTTGTCATTTCAGTAAGCATTTCTGTCATGATTTGTGACAGGTGAATGTGCTGTTATCTGCTGGAAGAGTTCAGTGTTTTTTCTTTGTTTTAATTCTGTGCTAGGTGATTATAATTCATAAAAGTACATTTTCTTGGTTTGGTTTAAATATATGACTTCTTGCTTTCTTTTACAAACTTATCTTGTAAGTAATGGGAGGATATTTAAGGAAGCTTTCATGCTGTCATCAGTTATCAAGATTACTCTGCAACAGATTTTTTCAGAAACAGTAGAACTTGTCTTATTTTACCAAAATTAAACATAAAAACATTTATATTTTTAGAAGAACCCTCCTACGAAGAAAAACTAAGTGAGATTATATTTCACATTTTCTCTGAGTCTTATTACTTAAGGACAATTTCAAAATGATTTTGACTGTTATTTGATCTAATCTGATGGCTAATTATTTGTTTCTTAGAAGTTTTAAGAATCACAAGTTTGAATATGGTGGTTCAGGTTGTAGACCATGTTTGATATACTTAATTATATTTGTTTTATTATAAAGTGTCCTTTTTAAAAGGAAGCATGCGTCTCTTTCCTCTTTTTTAAAAAATCTTTAGGCTCCAAATTTAGATGTGAAGATGACATGGTTAAAAGAAATAAGAAGTATTTTGTTGAAGCAACAGGAACTTATGACAGGTAAATTCAAGTATGCATTCTTCAGAGCAAGAAGTACTGTAACAGCTCATCTACTCAGATTTTGTGATAATTTTTACAGGGAATGGGGCTGATATTTACTTTATACTATGTATAATGAAAGATTTGTTAAACTAATTTAGTAGGAGATCAAGATTGCGGGGGGTTGTTTAAACTACTTTGGAGAATGAACTTTACACTGGAAAATGAACTTTAGTGCTTGAGAAGAAATTGTGAAATAATATTGCAAACTGTGTTAATTCTGAGTCCTTCCCATGAGGCAACTCTGCTTAGGACCTCGAGTAATCAGTGCTTGGTAATGTTGGCGTGGGAGTGGTTCTATTATAAACTTGAATTTCTTAAATCAAATATTACATGGTTCAGTCCTTTTCCATATTCCAAATTAAGACTGGCCTTCCCTCTGGTTATTTCAAGTCTGTGAAGGTTAACTCTAGTGCGAATGGGGGTGTATGTGTGCAGTGTCTGCATGTGAAAGTCATTGGTCTTCAAGGAAGCTTCTGAATTATGCTTATATAAACTTTGTCTTATTTCACAGTTAAAAGGCGAGAGCAACATAATCAGTTAACAGAACAGGATCAGCTTTCTTCACAGCAGAACAATGAGTAAGTGATTATTCTTTAAGAAATATCACTCCTGTAATCTTCTGTTTTCCATGTGTAACATGAAACAATGTAATTAAAGTCTCTCAGACCAAAACTACCCGCCCTGTTAGCAAGAACTCATCAAATTCCAGGAACACATCCTTTTCTCAGTTCTATCCTTATACTTGGAACCTGATATTCCTTAATAGTTATCTTATTGTTCTTGACATTAAAAATAATACCATAGTGTAGGCTATTTTTTTTTAATGATACCCTGATTTTCACCATCTAATCTAAGTAGTTCTCTCTTTTTTTGCTGGGAAAGTTTCGCCCCGAGCTAACATCTGTTGTCAATCTTCCTCTCTCTTTTTTCACTTCCTCCCCAAAGCCCCAGTACATAGTTGTATATTCTAGTTGTAGGTCCTTCTAGTTCTTCTGTGTGAGCTGCTGCCACCACATGGCTGCTGACAGATGACTGACAGGCCGCTGAAGTGGAGCATGCTGAATTTAAATCACTAGGCCGTCAGGGCTGGCTCTGGGCTCATTTTTAAACGTGACTAAAAGTGCTTTGTTCTCAGTATTTCCTGGGGGGAGATGCATGTAGGCTTACAGTAAAAGTGGCTGCATTCATGGCTTTCTCTTCAAAATATTTTTGGTCACCTTCGATCTCATTGGAGAAAGAGAGTTGTAAGAATGCTGAAGGACTGGCGGCTGCTACTGACCCACAACTTTGTGGTCCCTTGATAGAGACCACTTGCTGGTGACTTGACCTCTCATTCTACATAGTTAGAGAGGAGGTATGGGTCCTGGGAGGGAGCTTTGCCTGGATACAACCATGAAGTCTTTGAGGAAGATAGTGTTCCTAAATGATAGCACTGCTGGTGTAGAGATGAGGTCTTTGTATTCTGGCTCTAGAAATCCTAACAGGTGGTGTTTCCATAGAACAGCTGCATATATTCAGAAAGAATCCCCACACTGATTCCAAAGCCTTGGCACGGAAATTCACCATGCAGCATCTCCATGATGTAGGGATCATTGAATGACTTATTAAAAATACCCCTTTTCTCTTTGTTACACATCATCTTTCAGAGGTAGGTAAAATCAGGTGCAAAGTGTGTTGGTTCATTTGGGGCCTTAGGAGAACCATTTGAAAGTCACAGTGGAAGTCTTTATCTTATAGGAGTCACAATACTTAATGTTTTGTCATATATTATGGAAGTAATGTCTTTAGATTTCATGCAGTAATTGACTTCATAGTAGCTGATGCAGCTCAACAGTATTAATCAGATTAAGGTTTCATCATCATTTATACAAACCTTCCCTAATTCATTAAGGTTAAAAGTTCAAAGAGCAACAGAGATTTTTTTTGTTTATATTTTTCCAACTTAATTGAGTTATAGTTGACAATTAAGATTGTATATTTTTAAAGAGTGTGACTTGATGATTTGATATATGTACACATTATGAAGGATTCGCGACAGTCAAGCTAATTAGCATATCCATTACCTCACATAGTTTCCTCTTTCATGTGTGTGGTGAGAACACTTAAGTTCTACCTCTTAGCGAATTTCAAGTGTACAATATGCAACAGAGATTTTCAACAATGTATCTGCCCTGCATCCAGAAAGGAATCGTTTTTTCCTTGAATATTAAACAGAGACCCTGCTGGCTTGGATCCTAGGAGTTAAGCTTTTGTATATTATGAACTGTTATCACACAGGCTTAAATAAGGAGGGAGTCAGCTCTGTTTGAATAGATTCTCAGAGCATGTGGTTTTTTTTTTTTAAAGATTTTATTTTTTTCCTTTTTCTCCCCAAAGCCCCTCGGTACATAGTTGTATATTCTTAGTTGTGGGTCCTTCTAGCTGTGGCATGTGGGGCGCTGCCTCAGCGTGGTTTGATGAGCAGTGCCATGTCTGCGCCCAGGATTCGAACTGACGAAACACTGGGCCGCCTGCAGCGGAGTGCGCAAACTTAACCACTCGGCCACGGGGCCAGCCCCTCAGAGCATGTTCTTAACACATGGTATCAGTGGAAGAAATACCATTTTTAATTTCCTGTTACTCTCAGACTGTACAAAAGCTCACTTATTTTTACATATTTACTATTTCAGAAGGCAACGGAGAGCTTTCATAGGCGCTGAGGAAACTGAGTCAGAACACCCCAGCAGTGTGGTGGAGGTTGGTGAGGCAATGGCATCGGTTCAGGCAGAAGCAAATACAGGTATGTGTAATTGTCATCCGAAAGTAAGGTTCATGGCTGTGCAATTATTTCTCTCCCATTGTTAATTTGAAAAATCTACCTGTCTATTATCTTTGTGTAAAGAAAACAAAGTTAACCCATTTTTAGAAGGCTCTTATGTCTTGCATGTGCAAGAGACTCTGGTGGGCACTGCAGAGTAGTGGTTGTCAAAGTGGTCCCTGGACCAGTAGCGTTAGCATCACCTGAGAACTTGTAAGGAAGGCAAATTCTTTGGCTCTGCCCCGGACCTTCTGAATCAGAAACTCAGGGAGTGAGACCCAGCCATGTGTGATTTAACAAGTTCTCCATGTGATTCTTTCCGACGCACACTCGAGTTTGGGAACTCCTGCTACAAAGGATACAGAGATGAATAAAACACATATACTGGCTTCAAGGAATGCACACTTCATTCATCGTAGATTTAGTGAATAGAGAAGGGTTGTTTACAGCTGGAATATTTATTTTTCTTTTGCAAATTGTGTCATTTAAACAGATTTCAAACAATATGTTTAATTTGATAAATATAACACAGCCTGTGTGCCAGGAAGTGTGCAAAGCTCTGGGCAGACAGTCTAATTAAGATACACTCAACTGCCATCCTCACAAAGCTGGAAGAGTAGAAAGATAATTCAAGAAGCAGTTATGGATTGTAATTAGTCTTTGGGTGGTGAACATGATGTAATCTACACAGAATTCGAAATACATTATGATGTACACCTGAAAGTTACATAATGTTATAATCCAATGTTACTGCAATAAAAATAAAATACATAAGCAATTAAAATTAAATGTGATGAGTGTTAGGGAAGTACAAGGTGCTGTAGAAGCACTGGGCAGGGTCACCTGAGCAACTCTGGAATCAGTAGCATAGACTTTCCAGGAGAAATGCCTAACAGAGTGCCTGATAGTCAATACTTAAGTATGATGATCCATAATCTGGAACAGTTCTCTACTGTTGAGGAGAAACAAGTTATGACAACCTTGCTCAACTTTCAGTTATCTATTTAAAGATCACTTCCCTCAGGTCATCCATGCTGTGGTCCCCTGAGCAATCAGGAGAGAGCCTAGTACCAATGCCTTCATTTGACAAATGAGGAAACCAACTCAGAGAAGGTTGACATGACTTTTTCAAGGTTACATGAATAGTTGAAGTGTGGCCAAGATGAGATTCTGTTAATTCTCTGCATACATTAGATTGCTTAATTCATATCAGTTCAATATATTTTATTAATTAAGCACCTCTTACATGCAAGTCTCTTATGAGGCATACAATGTATAACACATGTTCTCTGCCTAATAAGAGAGATAAGACAAGTCAAAAATAGTACTATTACCAGGTAGGATGTTATAGGTGTTATTTGAGTGGGACCAGTAAAAATGCTATAGAAAAATTGGGGGAAGAAGTGATTTTCTGTAAGAAGGAGTAAATGTTCTCTGGAATGTTATTTAACTTATTGTTATTTGTAATAACTCTCCCACTAACACCAACTTGAAACCACCCTAAAAAGTAAAAGAAGTATATGACATTCCAGGCTCTTTCTGAAATATCAGAAATTCTAAAATAGTTCAATCTAATTGGAGGTTTTGTTATAGAAAGACATGATTCTTGGACCATTGAAGGTTACAGCCTTGAGTATTATAGTTAGTTTTTCTTCTCTCCTTGTGGTGGACCAGCACCTTTAAGTAATTGCCACCTTCCATGTTTTTCTTATAGTTTGGACCGAGATTTCATCACCTGCAGAAATCTCTGAAGAACCTCAGGAATGGTCAACCAGTTATTTCTACTCTTCTTATGATGACAATGAAGAAGAACAGAGGCCCCTAATGGTCAGTAAAGATGTATTAAAACAAATAGATAAAAACTCTTGAGGCAGTTTTACTGCTGAAATAGGTGAGGCACGTAGGGGCAATCTTTTGTCAGTATCCTTGAGGTCATTAGGTGTATTCCGTAGCCAAAAGATTTGCAACAAGTCTTCCTATGAACATTCAGTAAGCACTTCTTTTTTTAAGTAGAACTTGTTTGAGCTCTAGGTGGAGCTCCTGCTGACGTTGATGAGAGAAATAGCCAATCACTGCAAGGTGCTATACATTGACCAGTTTTCTCTTTAATTGAACTTCACCACTGTGTTTTCAATCTAGGCATGTGAAATAAACTCGGAGGACAATGAGAGTCAAAAATACTGTAAAAATCAGTTTAGAATCCAGATTGGAAAATATAGGAAATAAATGTTACACATTAAAAACTAACAACATCTGGGGAATATATTTTAGTGGGCTGTCAAAACTGTGCTAATGATACTAAATCTCAGCATATTCGAGCAAGGGGGCACCCCATAAGACTAAAGGAGGTTGCTTTAGGGTAAAAGTAAGTGTTTTATAGAAAATCAGTTTGTAATGCTGTTAGGATCCCAGTAGATTATTAGAGGGGAGTTAGGACTGTTTAGGGTAAATCTCCAATTTTCTGCAGTCACCAGCTTTGAGAGTGGGAATGATGCTTTGTAGTGGCCTGCTCCTTGGTGCCCTTCAGAGGAGCAAATTCAATTCGGCATTCTAAGTGGGGGTAAGGGAGTAAGGCATGGCTAATCACAAAGCTGCATAGTATTGACTCTGGAATGCTTTCTTTAAACAAGTAATAGAATATTCTTTCTCCTAATAATACAATGACCATAATACATATTTGTACGATAGTTTATAGTTTACAAAGTGATTTCACATTTAATATTCATAGTATTAGTGAGAGAAAGGGCAGGCTTTATTACCTCCAGTTGACAGAGGAGGAAACTGAGGCTCAGAGCTGCTAAGAGTTTTCTCTAGAGTTAATTGTCTAGACCAGCAGTGCTCAAACTTTTTAATGTAGGGACCCTTTACATTCTTAAAAATTACTGAGAATTCCAAAGAGCTCTTGTTTTTGTAGGTTACATCTATTGATAGTTTTGTTTTTGTTAGTGACGTTGAGTTAATTCCAACTTCTACTGACCCTGTGTACAGCAGAGGGGAGCCCTGCCTGGTCTTTTTGTGCCATCCTCTCACCTTCTGGCGCTATATCAGACAACACTCTCCTGCTATTCACAGGATTGTCATGGCCATTTTTTTCGGAAGTGGGTGGCCAGGTCCTTCTTCCTAGTCTGTCTTGGTCTGGAAGCTCCACTGAAACCTGTCCACCATGGGTGACCCTGCTGGTATTTGAAATACCAATGGCATAGCTTTCAGCACCACAGCAACACACAGCTGCCACAGTGTGACAACAGACAGACTGGTGGTGTGGTTTCTGATGGGGAAAGGAACCTGGGCCGTGGCGGTAAGAGCACTGAGTCTTAACCACTAGACCACCAGGGCTGGCTCTACTGATACTTACCATATTATAAATTAAAACTGAGAAACATAAAATTATGTATTTATTCATTTTTAAAAATATTAAAAAACCCAACAAATAACATTTTTATTAAAAATTTAAATTTTAAAACCAAAATATTAGTGAGAAGAGTGGCATTTTAAATAGTTTTGCAAATCTCTTTAACATCTGGCTTTAGAAAAGACAGCCTTAGTCTCATCGCTGCTTTTGCATTCAGTCTATTGTGCTATCACACTTCAAGTAGCCTCTGGAAAACTCCGCTGTATACTTATGAGAGGATGAGGGGGAAAAAGGCAAATAATGTCTTAATATGGGTTTGACCCTTGCAGACCCTTGGAACCCCCAACAGTCAGCCTCTCAAACTTTGAGAACCACTGGTTTAGACTAATAATAAAGAGGACATCCATTTCCTTAATTAATATTATCTGACGGTGGGAGGAGTAGCAGTTCAGATGTGAGCAAAACGTCAGGGGAAGCCAGCTTAGGTTTAAACGTTTGTTGTGGATGCTCTATGAAGGGATTGTCAAGAACTGACATTCTTCAGTAAGCATTTTTTTCCAGCTATGGTGTCAGAACTAAAACCAAATATGCAAAATTGATTAATGCCTTAATGACAAGGGATGGGAATATAGAAAAACATATTAGTTCTCCTCTCTTGTCCTAACAATTCCCTGAGTTGTGCTACTAAGGAAAACATGCAAAAGAGCAGTACAATGCCTTCCACATACCAAAAAATGAGACAACCCAGAAAACAAAAAGCACAAAGTTGCGAAGTCGGAATGAATTGCTCTTTTAGTCTCACGTTACCAAGTCAAAAAGTAAGAAATAATGGGTGCCGCTTCCCTTGTGGAGGCCCGTGTTGGAGACGGCTCCCGAATTTTGATGAAGCTCCTGTGTTCAATGGCAAGGAGCTCTTTCCTGTCTGCTCCTCTGCCCATTTGATGAAAGTTCTGCTCAAAAGACATTCAGCCCAAGCGATGTGGACATTGTTTTCAGGTTAATTCTTGTGACCATGCAAAGAATTGACACCGCATAATTATTTCTTTTCTTTCATTAAGAAGATTTAATTATGATACTCTTACTTTTTAAAGTCACGTAGTCAATGTGTAAGATATTGTGCTGGAAAAATTCTCATTTCAGAATACTTTTGGACTTGCAAATTATTATTTCTTCTCTATCTACTTTGTAACCCAACGCAATCAGTGTGCCTTGGATTACATTTAGCTGATTAGTGAATCAAGTTAAAATTATAGCTGCAAAATGATTAAGACCAAGTAAAGCACAACATTATGATTTAGTATGCTTTTATTGGACCCAGAGCTTGTGTGCCCATTATTTTTACCTGTGCAAAATGATACAAAGCCCAGAAGTCCTTCTGGGGGCGGTAGTAAATCTTTGTTCAAGACCTTTGCCTTTGGTGTGTGCCAAGATAAAATTTTCATTCGAGTAGTTTACAAATAACAGTATTTAAAAATTATTTTCCTGTTTTTCTCTGGATTTATGCTTATAATTCATGTAACTTAAATTAGTTGTGCTCTGTTATTTTCTGTGTAGTTCATGCTGTAACTCTCTTTTTGGAAATAAAAGTGAGTTCTTCAGGTTAAGTAAATACATGTTCTGCTTTTTTTCCCCATCACAAACTGGTTCATGTCTGTTCCTGCAAAGCTGCTGCAGCTGCCACATTTACCATTGAAGTAAAGAGTGAATTCTTTATGTCACAGAGCATGCAGTTATGCAAGTAATTTTGCAATGAAGTTTGTAATGTAATTTTTCAAAACAACCTTACAGTCTCCAGGCAAATATAAAGCCCTAGCAGATTGCAGGAAGAGAGGCTCAGAAGACCTCCTGATTAGAAATGGAGATGTCATTCAGCTTCTCCATGAGGATGCTGAGGGTCAATGGTAGGTGCGCTCTCCATGCCTGTGATGACCTCTGCCTGGGGCACATGGATATCTAATCAAATGTTCTGCTTTACTTGTATCTTTGTTATACAGTCTCAAGAAGCAGAAATATCACATTTCTTATCAGTGTTTCATTTTCATTGCTTCAGCCATGTCTATATAGCTCACTGAAAGGGATGTTAACCTTTGGTGAGTGAAAAATGCTTTGAAAGAATGAAATGCTATGGGGCTGCATGTAATTTTGTGGTTTACCTTGGGCTCTGACACATCTGGCTTTGTAATGGCTACAGATTGCATTACATTTGGTCAATTTAAGTCATTCATTAATTCATCGTGTATTTAATGAATGCCTACTGTGTGCCAGGGACCATGCTTTGCTACTTTACAGCATAGCCACACTTCTCTTTATCAGTTCAGATATTGACTTTTTAGCCTTATCATTCTCTCCTTATGCGTTTGACTTCATATAGCACTGATTGCAAAGATGGTTCTGCCAAATATATTAGTTAATCATAGAGAACCCAAAGCAAGAAGGAAATATTGTTTGGAAGAGGACTGAATGAAGCTTCCACAATTCTTTTGGAAATTTTATATGAAATAATTCTGTCTTCATGTCTCAGTAACTTTAACTGAAATGCTACATTGACTGTGTACACTGACCTTAAGGGTGGAAGAGTACACGCGAGGGTGAAAATTGATGATGGATCAGTAAAGTGATAACCATTTTTGCTAGTAACCTAAGTCCTTTGTAGGTTACTCAAAGGACTCGAGCCCAGTGTCATGAAGGTCTTCAAATATATGCAATAGCTTTGTGAAAATTTGAGCTGCAATGTAATGTATTTGTTTATTACCTTATATTACCATTGTTAGCTACTAATTCATTTATTATTTAGGTTGGTGAAAAATCTAAACAGAAGAAAAGAAGGGCTGATTCCAGGGAACAGTTTGCAGATTTTAACCAGTGACTATAGGTTTCGGAATGCCAAAGTTACAGGTATAATATGAACAGAGTGTATACTATTTGTTTAAGGACTAAAATTTTTGAATCTCCACCAAACGTACAATTGGCATAGGGTAAGAACCTTTCTGCTCTTATAAATAAAGCTGCAAGCATATTATGCTAGATAAGATTTAATGTTTTCCTTTAATAGTTTTAAATTAATGAATAAAGGTTTTTTGAACATGTTAAAGTTTTCCGTACAAGGTTGATAGATTTGAAAGAGTTTCAGATATTATGATGTCTTGTAAGAGATCTTTTAGAAGTAAATACTGATGATATGCTTCTAAGGTACCAGCCTTTCTGTCCGAGAATGCTTTACCAGTATGTTTTTACTCAGTTCTAAGAATGTGGTATTTCCTTACAGTAGATTTCTGCTGCATACACATACGCATACGCATGCAAACACACACACATACACACCAAACCTGTGTGCCCAAGACTTAATGTGTGAAGGTAGTATGAAGGAAGGAGAACTAACCTTAATGTTCCTTTCTATTAACCCAACCCTTGGTACATAAAACTTCTGTATACAACTAGTATTCTTGTAGATTTTTCCTCTAAGTAATAATAAGCTATGTATAAAAAGGCAGCACCAAAAAAGAACACAGACCTGTTTGTGAACAAGATTATTATTATATGCACATATTTCCTTTGAATTCCTAGTTTTGAATGTAGATTTGATTTCCAGGTAATGGTACCTCGTGTTTAGACCAATCTAAGAGACCAGGAGTAACTTATTTGGTTCCAAATTTCATTTATAACATGAAACAAAATCTAAGGGTGATAGGTTCAATATAGATAGTGGATCACACGGGGACCCCACAAATAGAGTTACTTCTTATTTATTGTTTTGGGTACTCCAAATCTAGTCACCTTTCAAAGGTTTTCTGCAGTAATTGTCAAATTATTTAGATAATTATTGAATTATTTAGATAATTAGTAATCAGAAGAGTTTGATGTACCAACAACCTGGACTACTTGACATTTATTTAAAACCTATACCAACAGCTGCAGAATACACTGTTATTTTTAAGTATACGTGGAACATTCACCAAGATAGACCATGTGGTGGGTCAAACAAGTCTCAATACATTTCAGAAGACGGAATCGTATAAAATCTCAAAAGTTATTATATTAGAAATCAATAATCCCTTAATATTTGGATATTAAATGATGCATCTAAACACACATGGAACAAAGAAGACAGCACAAGAGAAATCAGAATTATTTCAAACTGGATGAAAATGAAAATGTAACATGTCAAAATTTGTGGATGCATCTAAAGAGGAAAGGAAATGCAGGGAAATTTAGAGCTTTAAATGTTTGTATTACACTTAAGAATCAGTATAATTCACCATATTAACATAATGAAGGTGAAAATTATGTAATCATTTCAATAGATGCAGAAAAGCAATTGACAAAACACCATACTCATTCATGATAAAAACTCTCACCAAACTAGGAATAAAGGGTGTTTCCTCAATCTGATAATATACACTTGTGAAAAACCACAGCTAACATCATACTTTATGGTGGAATTGGAAACTTTTCCCCTAAGATTGGGAACAAGCCAAGGATATTCACTCTCAGCATTTCTATTCATCATTGTACTGGAAGTCCTAGCCAGTGCCATAACTCAAGGTAAAGAGATATAAAAATATTAGAAAGGATGAGGCAACACTGTCATTCTTAGTAGATCATGTGTATGTACAAAACCATTAGGAATCTATACACAAAAAGACCCTACTAGAAATAGTAAGTGAATTTTATAAGGCCATTTGACACAAAATCATTATATAAAAATAAATTGTAATTCTATATCCTAGCAACAAAGAATTGAAAAAACGTAATTTCGAACAACACCATTTCCATTAGTGATACAAAATAAATAGGAATAAATCTAACAACAGATGTCTAAGGATTCTATACTGACGACCACAAATCATTGCTGAGATATATTTAAGATGACCTAATAAAGGGAAAGATATACAATGTTGAAGGATTGGAAATCTCAATATTGTTACGAAATCCATTGTCCCCAGATTGACCTATGGAGTTAATGCAGTCAGAATCTCAGCAGACCCTTTTGGGAAAAAAAATAAAGACAAGTTTATTCTAAAATGTATATGGAAAGGCAAAGAATCTAGAACAGAAGACTCTCAAAAATTTGGAGGACTTAGCTAGCTGATTTGAAGACCTACTGTTAGGCTACAGTAATGAAAACAGTGTGGTGTTGGTGTAAGTGTAGAAAAATAGAGATTTCCGAAATAGACCCACATATACATAATCGATGAGCATTCAATCAAGGTGCCAAGTCAACTGAATGGGAAAGGAAGGTCGTTTTAACAAATGGTGCTGGAGTAATTGGGTATCCATATGTACAAAGAATGAACCTCCATCCCTATACCTCTCTCCATACACAAAAATTAATTTGAATTGGATCATAAACCTAAACATAAAAGCTAGAGTCATAAAGCTTCTAAAAGTAAACACAGGACAGTATCTTTATGACTGGGTAGTTAACAATTTCTTTCTTATACAGGGCAGAAAAAGCACTAACCATAAAGGAAGGGTATTAGACAAATACAAAGAAACATGCTGAATTGAGCACCTTACAACTTTAAAGTTTCATGCCTTTTAGAATAAGATAAAATTTAAGATAGTAACATCGGAATCGACGATGGCGCTAACAACGCATTTGAAACACTTTCAAAAGCCAATTAGTAATGACTCACGTTTTCCCCCAAATTAACTGATTTCATCTTATACGTTAAAGAGTTAAGTTTGAAAATAAATATGGCCAGCTTCCTGCCAACTGTTTTATGCTTATTTGAATGGTTAATGAGAGAGACAGACAGACAGAAGAAACACGAGTCACTTAAAATATGTTCTCAAAGAGCTGTTTAAATTAACACATATAAACATTTAAAAAATTTTTATTGAGGTTATGATAGTTTACGACATTGTGAATTACAGTTGTACATTATTATTTGTCAGTCATCTTAGAGGTGCGCCCCTTCACCCTTTGTGCCCACCTCCCCCCTCCACTTCCCCCTGGTAACCACAAATCTGTTCTTTTTGTCCATGTGTTTGTTTAGCTTCCGCATATGAGTGGAATCATACAGAGTTTGTCTTTCTCTGGCTTATTTTGCTTAACATAATACCCTCAAGGTCTATTCATGTTGTGAATGGGATGGTGTTATCCTTTTTTATGGCTGAGTAGTATATCCATTATGTGTATATATATATATATACACACACACACATAACCATATCTTCTTTATCCAGTCATCAGTCGATGGGCACTTAGGTTGCTTCCATGTCTTGGCTATTCTGACTAATCTGCAATGAACATAGGGGTACATGAGTCTCTTTGAATTGCTGATTTCAAGTTCTTTGGATAGATACCCAGTAGTGGGATGGCTGGGTCATGTGGTATTTCTATTTTTAATTTTTTGAGAAATCTCCATACTGTTTTCCATAGTGGCTGCACCAGTTTGCATTCCCACCAGCAGTGTATGAGGGTCCCATTTTCTTCATAACCTCTCCAACATTTGTTGTTTTTTGTCTTGGTAATTCTAGCCATTCTAACGAGTATAAGGTGATATCTTAGTGTAGTTTTGATTCGCATTTTCCTGATGATCAGTGATGGTGAGCATCTTTTCATGTGCCTATTGGCCACCCGTATATCTTCTTTGGAGAAATGTCTGTTCCTATCCCCTGCCCGTTTTTTTATTGGGTTGTTTGATTTTTTGTTGTTGAGTTGTGTGAGTTCTTTGTGTATTATGGAGATTAAACGTTTTTTATAAATCATTTTTTGAAGCAATTAAAAAACCAATAAAGCCATGAAATAACAGTACAATGTTTATACTAGAAAATAATGGCCTTTCTTATGCTCAGGTCTCCAAGATTCAAAAGTGAAAAGATCAAGTGTGTTCATCTGACTTCCATGTAATATTAACATTTGTATTCAACATTAGGAAGACCTAGAGTAGATTTTCCATAACTCTTATCATCATCGTTTTAAATATAGAGCCAGATGTCCTCCTACTTAATTCAGGACAAAGTTAATTACATTAAATTTTAGCTAACTGTAATGCAGGACATGTAAAATTACATGTTTGATGAGTTTTAATTTGAACTGATTCAATTACTGTGGCTAATTGCAGTGGATTTAGGGCATATTACCACTTTTTGAAAAGTACATGGCAAAACAACTTAAATCTACTTTGGGCTTTTGCTCATTTTTCAGGCAGTAAAGGGCTTACATTTGTTAACAAACATACACTTTATTTCGGAAAAAAATCACATTATTCCTTTCGAGTCCTTTTTGTGTTCTACCATCAGAATACTTTTTCTATGTCCTTTTCTTTTTTGCAGTGCCATTGGGAGAGTTGAGTGTAATGGGTTGATATATCATCAGCATTTAAAGCATTTATTACTCTCTTCTCAGTGTGGCATACTACTAGATAAGATGACAAGGTCCCTTTGGTTTTGTTCTCCACAAAGTTCTGACAATATATTTTTAAAATATACATTACTTTCAAATAACATGCATTTATGACTTATGTTGAACTGACAGATTAGTACTTATCAGTAGATTTTCCTTGAATGCTGTAATATCAAGTGGTCTTGATTGAGATCTACCTGCATATTACACTGTATAGAGCAAAATAGTGTATTGTGGCCTACAAAAATATTTGGTAATGTGTGTTGGTGGATTAGGAAATTACAATTGACCACATATGCAGTTGTCAACAGCATTAAGGTTTAAAAATATACATTCGAGTATCTTATTTGAAATCTGGCAAATAGAATGTAAAGATCCCTCTGATACTTATGTGCTTAACATGTTTCATATTATCTATATGCACCCAGGGTAATTCATACAATATTTATGAAATCTGGTTGCAGAGGATATAAATTCTGTTTACAGTCATATGCTGCATATGACATTTTGGTTAGTGACAGACTGCATATACCACAGTGGTCCCATAAGATTAGTACCATACGGCCTAGGTGTGTAGTAGGTTATACCATCTAGGTTTGTGTAAGTACACTCTGTGATGTTCGCGCATCGACAAAGCTGCCTAACCATGCATTTCTCAGCATGCATCACCGTCGTTAAGCGATGCGTGACTGTATTTTATTTTGCTTCAAGTGAAGTTATGCCGTTCATAAAATAGATGCCTTTAATAAATAATGTAATGGAATAACAACTTTCATATTAAAATAAACAACCGAAAGACATCACTTTTGAATTTATGATGGACGCTTTGAATCCTCACATTTAGTGTTAGAAGTCATAGCACAGACTGCATTTTTGGCCTTAAAAGTCACCTGAAGGGGCCAGCTGGTGGCGTAGTAGTTAAGTTTGCGCACTCTGCTTCAGTGGCCCCAGGTTCGGTGGGTTGGATCCTGGGCGCAGACCTATACACGGCTCATCAAGCCATGCTGAGGAGGCATCCCACAGAAGAACTAGAAGGACTTACAGCTAAGATATATGTACAACTATGTACTGGAGTTTTGGGGAGAAAAAGAAAACAGAGGAAGATTGGCAACGGATGTTAGGTCAGGGCCAATCTTCCTCACCAAAACACATGCATTGTAAGAAAAAAAAAAAAAAGAGTTACTAAAAGTCACCTGAGTATTAACATCATTCTTCATTATTTTGTAGATGCCGCTCTGAGTAAACACAAGGAAACTAAGTTCCACTTCAATTAAAGGAGAATGAATAGACTTTTAAAAATAAGATTACCTTTGGAGGTGTGAACTAGATTGTATTTCTTAAAAGTGTTACAGATAAACAGCCAAGAGTCAGGACGAGCCTCTGCTGCCCATGACATTCACAGAATTTCCTCAGGACTGAGGTGGACTTCATCATTCCCAGTTTGTCTCATTCTTGCAAGAAGCCATCTTCACACCTTCCATCCCCCCAGGTGAAAAGTGCCGTGTTATTTTGTTTCCAAATAGGGTTTTTCATGGCATGCGTTCAGATTCCATCTAAAAACTCGAAATCAATTATTTTGAACATTCACAGGTAAAAAGCTTTACCTGTAATTTTCTTGATAACTTTTCAGTAACAAAACAAAACAAAAATCCAAAGAGAGAAGAGAGATAATCAGAGATTTTAAATCCCTTTGTTAATTGACAATTTATTTTATTATTTAATTCTGTTATCTGTGTGACTATAACGTACCAAAGGGATATGTTCTGAAGGACCTCTTTTGCACTTTGACTGGTATTTAGGGTTTTCACAGTTGTCTTATGGTTCTAAAAAGATCCAAAGCTAAAATTCTGTAGTTAGGATGTGTTGAAGTTTACATTTTATGCATTGAAATTGAGATACACGTGCCACAGCTTTAAGTTAAATGTTCATATTTGCACAAGAGGTGTTCCTGTAACAAAGGTTTACTTTCCAGTGTCTTTACTTGCTTTTGAATTTTCTAGAAAAATCTATTCTAGTAAAGGTTTTCTTAAGTTGCGTTGCGTTCCTTCCTAGGATTTTTGTTTGATGATAATGTATAGATGTCTTTCTTTAGAATCTCTAAACAGTGTGACCACTTGTTTTAAAGCACAGGGCCAAGTTGTTGCATGCAGTGTTGAATTTATGCTTGGAGTATTTTATATTGTGGACCACTGAAGACAATGGTTTGAAATTGCTGCCTTTTGAATCATAGATTGTGAGTGTTACTCTCAAGTTGGCATATTAGCTGCATGTTTTTTGACGAATAGTTTTACAGTAAACAATAAACACAATAACTATATAATTCATAAATATTTTCTTTTAAATAGGTTTGTGTATCATATCAAGATGATAGTTTATGCCAGTGGTATCATTTGATGTAACAATTTGTATGACAAATGAATTGTGTTTTATTCAAAGATACCTGAAAATTATCAATCTTCTAATGTCCATTTGCTGGAATTTATGATGGTTGATTTATAATTCACTCATGAAAATGTCCATATATTTGATACTTAGTTAATGTTTCTGCAACAATACCAACAGCAACAAAACAAAGTTAAAATACATCTCTTTTGTGTGCTGATCCTGGGGTTAGGAGACAGAATTAGGAGAGAAAATTTTTGAATAATTATGTCCCTCTGCACAAAACGTTTTAATTTCATGGTATTAAACTAGGGATTTTAATCATTTAAGACAGTACTGAGCTCTATAGATTCAAACATACAGTTATAGTCTTTTAATGTTTTAATCACTGTACAATGAATGCTATATTTGTATATGTATTTGTATATGTAACTGCACTGTATTAATTTTATTGGGCTATAAATGTGTGTTACTATAAAACATAGCAGCAATTTCCCTTTAAGTCTTCAAAATTTAATTACATTGTAAATGTACTTACAATGTAAATGTACTTGTGTTAATTCCACATTAAAAATATCCAACCTTAAATCCATTCGTATATTTTTTTCAGTTTAGTATAGTATCAGTAATACATTGAAAACTCCTTTCCTCTCATTTATTAGTGATACCCTAAAGGCACCATAAGTATTTAGAGTTAAATGTTTACCTTCAGCCTTGCTTCATGTTTCTCTGAAAGAGACAGAGATGCGGAGAGACAGAGATAGACAGAGAGATCGGACTCGAAGTAGGGTAAAATATTTTGCTCAAAAGTTTCTTCACCCAAGTCTGTAGGATAGCAATAAATGAGGTTTCAGGGGTTAGATAGCCCTGTTTCTGGGGGGATAGTTACACACTGGAAAAATCTGCTTCCATATAATGGAGTCAAAGGAAACCTGGAAAGCATCTAGATACTTGCAGTTGTTTTCTGAACCATCATTTGCTTTTGCAAAGGGCTCTTAATTGGGTTTTCCAGACTTAGTGGTCTCTTCCACAGCCTATTAGGGATCTAGAACTTGTGCCTTAATATAGACGGGGGACAAAACCCTACCAAATTGATTTGATTGAATCTTCCATTTTTTAAAAACAGATTGTTTCAGATGTTTTAATGACCATCCCATCACAGGATAAACTATTTCTTTTGTCTTTAAATGTATTTTGAATTCTTTTGAGGAAGCACCATTGGTGAACTAGTTAATCAATAAATTAATTCATCTCCAAAGAACTCCTTGAAAATTAAAATGCATGTTCAAGTTTTATTCCTATATTGGCTGAGGAGTAAATGTTATTCTTGACATTTTCAAAATTGTATATGAATCTTAGAATATAAAATACATAGTTGTTATAAAAGCCGCCGTGATATCTGGGCTACAATATTCTGTTAAGAAGAGAGAAAATTTCAGAGTATATTTTTGAAAGTGTAAGAGAGCATAAGAAATGCTCCACTTGGAGAGAAATTAGGTCAGTGATTTTGTTTTGGGTTTAGTCCGAAATCAATCCAGTTTCATTCAACAGACTTTGTCTGCGAAAAATGCTTATTATTGGTAGATACTAGAACACAAGGACCTGCTTCCCACAGGGACAGTAGACTCTCGAGCACTTCATGAATCAAGTCTCAAGCAATTAATTGTCAAAACAAGTCATTTTTATTACATTTCAGTACACTTCTCTGCATTGATTTGGAATGGTCAGTTTGCAGTTGGTCTTATGGGGCCTGCCCAAGGACAGCAAATGCTTAGGAACAAACCAGTGTTAAAGACAAAGCTGAAACCCTTTATGTTGTTCAAAAGGAAATCAATAGATGTGAAGATGGGCTTTTTTCTTTTAAAATAATTCCTTTTTATTTTGAAATGCATTTTCTATATTAAAGCTCATGACATAGTAAGTCTTAAGTTTTCGTTGCACTTGTTGAGAGCCTACCTAATGTTTGTTGATTACCTCATTTTCACATGCAGGAATTAGCACATCAAATTCTGAGGAGACATGTTTCACCATATGTCCACCAAATAGGACTAATAATATATATTGACAACAACCAATGAAATTGTACTTTGTAAAGATATGTTACTTAAGCTAAATGAAACTTTCCTTAAACCCAAACCAAAATAGAATGTAAACCATGTCAAAGATACATTTCATCTAAGTAGTTCTGAGATAGACTCATTAAGTCAATTACTATCAAAATAACTAAACAAATACAACCAGACTGGAGAACAAATTAAAATACCATAATGGAGCACAAGAGGAATCCAGAAAGATTTGAAGCACGAAAAGAACTTTATGTGCTGAGGATTATGTCAATCGTGTTTATCTTAGTTTGATAGTGAATATGCTTTTACGAGGCAAGCTATGAGAAATCAAATGAGAACAAGTAAAATGGTAGTAACTAAGTCAACTGTAACTTTTCAACCATAATCAAAATGACTTAAAAGGGGAAAATCGTAGTGGACATTTTGGAATCTAATATTAGAAACTAAGATGATCTCTTTACTGACCCCCAGGGAGGACAGAGGGCTATGCCTATACATTTACAGCTAGTTTCAAAACACCTGAATTTAATGCAAAACAGCTATTTTACACATGAGTATTAGTAGCTTAAAATCTGCCTATATTTCTAAAAATGCCAAGTGTTGGGGAGGACGTGAAGCAAGAAGAACTCTTCCCTACTGCTACTGGGAGGATAAGTAGGTACACCCCTTTTGCGAGCAATTTGCTAATACCAAGTAAAGTTGAAGTGAATACTGTATGGATTAACAATTCCCCTCCTAAGTATCTACCCCAAAGAAACACTCACACATGTGATCAAGGAGATATATGGGCCAGAACGTTTATAGCAGCATTGCTTGAAAGAATAAAAACTTTGGAGACAACGTGAATGACCATGGACAGGAGAATAGATAACTGGATTATGGAATATCATACGATAAAATACTATACAGAAGTTAAAATGAACGATCTTGAGCTACGCTTATTAACATCAATCAATCTCACAAGAAACAAATTGCAGGATAGATACAATACGATAGCATTTGCACAAAGGTTTAAAATATGCAAAACAAAATGTGTACTTTCAATGGATAATTCAGAGTAAAAGTATATGGATATGCTGGATAATGATCAACACCAAATTAAGGATGGTAGCTATCTTTGCAGATGGGGAGAAAGAGAAGGGGAGGAGTGGGGAGAAGGAACAGATGAATGTTGGTACTTGGGAGTTCATGATACTATTTTCTATACGTTTTTATTTGTCTGAAACACTATACTGGAAAAAATTCTCACTTTAATTCAGTACTAGAAAAGAGGAATACAATACTTTGTCTCCCGTGATTGAAATATACTGAAACCCTGCATCAAACTTACCTTCTGTACATCCCTGTGGGAATTTTATATATTTTTTGATCTTACATGCTGGCCGAAAATAACAGTTAAGTAGTCTTTTCCATAGTCTTTGTAAAGATCATACAAATTACCATGAACTAATATACCAGCAGAAAACTACCACATAATAAACCTTCATTGACTTAACAACGTGTGAATGTGTTATGTAGGAGAAATATTTGCACTTAAGAAATGTTGTATTTTATTTTAAAACGTAGGATAACTACCTGTTGCCATCTGAGAACAACTTTATAGTTGTTCTTAAAGTTGTTGGATTTTTCAGTATTTCTGGCTCATGAAGACTCTGCTTCTCTAACAACTTGTACATTTTAATTTACAGTGTATTTCCTACTCACTCATAGCAATAATTAAGTAGCAAGACTGTAAAAATGATGAATTTTTAGTCAAATAATTACATTTTGTCCATTGGTATGTTGGTAAATGTTAAACAACTGGGTCTCTTTTTAAAAAAAGAGCAAAAATGTATTTGCAGCATTTGTCACTATCTATGGTGTACATATCCTTGCCATGGCAGATTTTAAGCTAGTGACATGAAGTCCCTGAACTGGGAGTTGGAAAGAGATGTGCAAAATTGGCATTTGTGAGTTGGCATAAGCCAGGTCCAGCACATTGCTGATTTTGTCGTATGAAGCAGATCCAGTGCCAGGCCCATGGTAAGTGTTCAGTAAAATTCCTTATTAGAGTGTGCTAAGATTTCTGAATTATAACCTACCATTAGGTAATGGGTAGCTATCCTTTTAGCATATCTGTTACCCAAATTTACATTTTCTAAACTAAGGAAGCAGAGGTTCTGATCCGAAGCATGATCATCTAGGACTGGAAACAGAGCATATGGAAGAGAGTATGAAAAATATTGGAGCCATATTGGGAGAAATTAAACTCCCGTGGCCCAGAACAACAGTTTGATTCAGATATAAAACTATGAAAGTTAAGAACTGACTATAAAAACATTGTACAACAACAAAATATCTACCTAAATGAGGATACAAAGCACAGACAAGAAAAGTAAGTACAGCTTCTGGCGAACACAGATGGAAAGGCAATAAATGTTAATAGGAGAGGAAAAGGCCAGGGCTATAACCGTAGTCATCTAGGCTAATCTCTTTTACATTTCCTGGAAATTAGTGACAACTTCTCTTTATATCCTTGGAAGGAAATGAATGTAGAGGTTTCTCTTTCTGTATTTGCCTGTCTTCCTTTCTATGGCATATTCCCTTATGTGTTCAGGATAAATATCTCATTCCTACGTTAGATGACTGAGTTTTGCACTGATGTAGTCAGTAATAGCCTTTTGTCTTCCATTTCATTCATACATTGGTTTGTTCATTTAAGAAGTATGCACTGAGTTTCTCAGAGACTTGCATTCTTAATTTGGCTTCTTACTTTTAGAGCTGAGTTTTAATATCATGAAAATGCGTGCTTATTTTTGTAATATATTCCAAGAGGAAAAGAGATTTTTATATGTAGATCTTAACTAAAGCATGTCGTGTGTAAATCATGGGACCCCTTTATTTTTATGAGGTCAGCCCTTAAGCAACTTAGCTATTGATCTGGAGAAGCTATATACGATGGCATTTCTAAAAGTTTGAGTGACACCATCTGGGAGATTAACTATGTCAGCAAGTTTTTATGGGTTAGGATGGTATATTCAACATTGCAATGAAGCAACCTCTTGAAAGGAAGTCTTCGGAATCAAGAATATCCCTGCTCCTATTTCCGTCCTTCTCTCAAATAAGAGGGTAACTCTCCTACCAGAGTGAAAGGATCTGGCTAGGATTTCAAAACACTACTGTTCTATGAGGGTGTGGAGAGAAGGTCTTGGCCCTGGTCCAGAAGCTGGTGCCTCTTTTTATATATATATATATATATATATATATTTTTTTTTTTTTTTTTTTTTTCTAAGAAGGGTCTGCCTGTTGTCCTTCTCTTCTGATACCTTTACCCATTCGAGAGATTGAGGTTAACTCTGGAAATCTCAAGTCGAGACATAACCCCAAGGACAGGGTGAAAAAGGTCTGCCTTGAAAGTACCGTTGGAGAAAATGAGTAGAGTGATCTGTGTACCTGGATTGGTTGAAAAGGGCAGGAGTCCCACGGTCTTTTGCCTGCTGTGATTCCAGCAGCTTCCATAATTTGCAGAACACGTTGATTTTT